ATTCTTTTAATAATTTTGAGGTAAATTGTGTTCCTTGATCTACCGTTATATTGAGTGGGATACCGAAACGAGGAACATAATTTTGAACAAATGTGGTTGCAAAAGAAACCGCCGAAATATCTTTAAGTGGTTATGCTCCCGGCCATCGTGTATGTCTGTCAATAATTGTTAATATGTATCGATTCTCCTTTGAAACTGGAAGAGGTTCTACTAGATCCATATGAATATGTTCCACTCGTCTATAAGGAATATTAATCTTTTCAATTGAAGTTTTAACGTTCTTAGTAACTTTAGATTTTTGACAGTTAATGCAAGATGATGTCTTATGACTGACAATTAATTTCTTTACGCATATTAGGCCAAAAATATTTGGATTGAATAAGACGTCGAGTTGCTCGAACACTTGGATGTGATAAAGAATGAATTTTTTCAAAAATAATTTTTCTCATTGAATTAGGAACATATAGTCTAAAAGGTGTTTGTGTAACACCACACCAAATATTAACATTATTTATAGTTATGTTAATTCTTTTAAATTACTATTAGCATTTGGTTTTGAAATAATATTTTGAAGTATTTCATCTATTTGTTGTTCTTCATAAAGATATTGAAAATGTATGTCTTTTGTTGAAATTAATTGCATTTGTGGAATGCGAGAAAGAGTATCAGCTATTTTGTTATCTTTACCACAAAAGTATCTAATATCATTAGTAAATTGAGCAATATATTCTAAATGTCTAATTTGACAAGGAAATCTATCTGCTTTAGAATTTAGAACATGTGTAAGTGGTTTATGATCAGTGTAAACAGTGAAAACTCTACATTCGAGAAAATGTTTAAAATGTTTAATTGAATTATTTATATGCTAAAAGTTCTCTGTCGAATGTGGAATAATTAATTTCAGTTGGAGTTAATTTTCGTGAAAAATATGCTAATGGTTCTAATGTGTTATTACTCTTTTGTTGTAAAACAGCTCCAATAGCAACATTTGTAGCAAATGCAGCAATTGATAATTCACCGTTTTTTGTGCGAAAATTTTTAAAACAATTTCTAAAGCTTGTGTGGTTTCATCTGTCCAATTTAATTCTTTAAATTTATTTTTTATTGTAAATGTTAACATTTCATGCAGAGGACTTAATTCTGCTGCTAACATTTTAATATATCTATGATAATAATTTACCATATTTAAAAATTTTTGTAATTTGTTAATCGACAGAGGTCTTTCAAACTCTAAAATTGTTTCAATACGTTCTAAAGAAGGTCTGATACTTTCACTTAAAATTTCATAGCTAAGAAAATTTAATTTATTTGTTCCAAAACGACATTTAGCAGGTTTAATATTTATATTGTAATTTTGAAGTCTTTTAAATACTGATTTCAAATTTTCAATATGCTGATCTTCATTTTCACTAACTACTAAAATATTACCGATGTAAACAAATGCGAAATTTAATTCAGAAAATACTTCATTAATAAATCGTTGAAAAGTTTGAGCACTGTTTCTAAGTCCAAAAGGCATACGTACAAATTCAAACATTCCGTAAGGGGTAGTTATTGCTATTTTGTGTATATCTTCCTCAGCCTTTGGTATTTTATGATATGTACGAACTAAATAATTTTTGAAAATATTGTTTTATCTTTTAAATCATTGTTTAAATCGTGAATATGAGGTAACGGATATCTATCTGGAATAGTTATAAAATTTCATCTTCTATAATCACCACGTAGTCTTCAATCATTTGGTTCCTTTGATGGTCGACAAACACCAGTTTTAACTAAAAATTCTAATTCAGTTTTTGCTATATTTAATTTAAAAGTATCAAGACGACGAGGTTTAGAAGAATCCCTTTGGTTTCAATTCTCTGAACCGTATGGTGTTGCACTTGTTTAGTGTAATCTGGTTCACAAGTAATAAATGAAATGGGAATTCGAAGAGAGAAAATGTCGCAAAAACCAGAAATTTTAAATTTTGTTGTTAAATCTGTTATTTCTTTATTTTTGATATCTACTGAAATTCCAGATTTTTCTAAAAAATTAGCACCAATAATTGGAGTTCAAATACCGGCAACAATAAATGGAAATTCGAGATCTCTTCTTAAACCTAAATCAAGTTTTAAAAGTTTTGTTCCAAATGTTTCTATATTAGATCCATTTGCAGCTGAAAGTTTAAGATCAGAATTTCTTTTAAATGATTTGAATTTCGATGAAGGTATAACTGAAACAATTGCGCCTGTATCAATCAAAAAATGTAATTCGTTAGATTTATCGAAAATAAAAAGGCGACGTGTAAGTTGACTAATATATCCATTATCAGCCACCGTCATAATGGAATGTTTTAGTTTAGAGAATTTGCATTTGAAATATTTGTGTTTGGTTTAAAATTGCAAGGTTGAACGCATTTGAAGGCATTATTCTTAAATTTTTGAAGATACCAACAAATATTATTTTGATTATTATTATTCCTGAGTCTTGATGAATTTCTTTATCTTGATCTATATTTATTTCTAGATCTAATTTGTAATTCATTTATATCTGCTTTAATTTTGTTTAGAGTTTGATACATTCCAGTTGTCAAGTCAGTTAAATTTTTAATGCATTGTTCTAAAATATTATTATTATAAAAATTTGAAGTTATTAAAGAGACTTGAGGTTTATTAATTAAATCGAAAATTTTATCAGCCAAAATAATAATTTTAACTTTATTTTGATTACTAGAAGAAGTTAAATGAATTTGAATTTGTTCAGATGGTTTACGAATCCATAATTTAAAAAGTAATTCGTGACTAAAAATTAAATCTGAACCAGTTAACGATTTCATATATCTAAAAAGCTCTGAAGTTGAACGATCACCAAGTTCAGTATTTGAAAATAATTTTTCCAATCTCTTTTCTTCACTAAGAGAAAATCTCCCCAAAGTACTTTCTTAATTGTTTTTCATATTTATTCGAAAACGGAGGTGGATTAGTAACATCTATAATTTTTGAAATAGTTACTCGTTGAAGAGCAATTAAACCATTTTGACACTTAATGTTATTATTATAAATGTTGTTAATTTCAAATTGTCCTTCAACAAACAACAACCATGCTTCAGGACATTCATTCCAAAACGGAGGTAATTTAATTGATTTGGGAAAATTATCTTCAAGATGTGTTAAATTATGTGTATGAATGTATTGAGTTAAATTTTCTGTTGTATTTAATTCTGTATTAGAGTTCGTGATTTCATTTTGTGTTTCTGTTGTTGTAAAATTACGTCTGCGTATGCGTGATCTATGCATGTTTGGAGAAGGGAGTTAATAAATATTTAAACAAAAATTGAACTTAAATTTGAAATGAGATACAAAATTGAATAAAATTAATAATGCTATATATATTTTAATATAATATATATACTCGTATATATGTATATTTTTCAAATCAATAACTTGCTATTGATTTTAATTGATGTAAGAATTGTTGATATTGATGTTGATTGAAGCGTTAGTTGATATTTTAAGTCTTCATAAATAATCAATTCAATTTCAATTAATGAATCACGGTAGGATCGAAGTTTCCTTTTATAAAATTGTTTTTTATTTCTTGTCGCAGAAAGAACAGCAGAAAATTTAATAAATTGTATGATTTTTCTTTTGTAGTTTATGATAGACGTCATTTAAAAAATTCCACACAAATTTTGAAAATTTCATGATTAAAATTCAGTTGTACAAATTTTTGATAATACACAAGCACATACACACACATTTAACAAATAAAAACTAATAATATATATATATATATATATATATATATACAAAAATAATGTTATACTATCATGATGGACCGGGTCCAACATTATTTTTGTCTCGTCGCAAAAAATAACGACATCCCAGTATTCCGCAGTCCTCTAAACATTGGTAATAGAAATGTTGAGCCGCTTCTCAATATTAACTACCGACAACAATGGTTTCTTTCCAGTTATTCTATATTCTCAGTGTGGTTTGAGGAATATCACTGACCTGCTCTAGAATTTTTGAATGATCGCGTCTAGAAAGTTTCGGTGGTCTACCTCCAGAGTGCTTTAACTCCAACCTGTTTTCTTTTTCTGCGCGTTTAATAATATGATATTATAAACCGTTCTAAGCTTGATGCAAAAAATTTCCACCAATTCTTTAGCCGATTTCCCTTTGTGGTAGTTAAAATAAACTAATTGAATAAGAGTTTCATTAGTTCGCATTGTTAAAAGCGCTAAATCAACAACATCTGAACTGCCGAAAGCATTAATAGAATTGAATGTAATAGAACAACGCATAGCTATGACGCACACGTACACTCGTTTTCAAATTTGTGGTACCGTTAAGTTATCTACGTTTTATTTTGAATTGTGTGTGTGTGTGTGTTTGCAAAGAATTAATTGACAACGCAATACTTGGCGAATTTAAAATTTTTTTTAACCGCTCGGTTTTGATGTTTGTTATTTCTGCGAGTGATATTTGTTAAGAATACTTAGATTAACAATACAAATAAATAAATAAAAAAACGGAAAATAAAATACTTTCATTGCAGATTGCATCAAAAATTAGTCGTAGCCCACTGGCCTATTATAGCCGTATAACTTCACTGATGACCTGAGAATTCCATTCTTGCATATATGCATGAATGTAATGTACTTACATACATATGCATATGCCGGAATGCAAAAACTCAAATTGCAGGGAGCAATTAGCCAGCACTTAAAGACATAGTGTGTCGCGGTAGTTCCTTGCTTTGATTTCGATGAAAAGGTAACGTAAATCGATTAATTTCCAATATGTGACACGTTGTATTGCTTCGACGGGTAATTGCAATTCTAATCCTGAGTTTCCTTGCTTCTTCAGCTCTCGGTATCTATCCCAGCCCGCACGTGTAGTGACTGATCGCAACGTTGCGAGATAGGCGGTCCGTTTTTTCTCCATTCTGGCTCTGCCCATTGTTTCCCACAACAGTTTTAGTGTAGTTGCGGAATTGAAAAAAATATTCTCTAATTTGTGTTTGTATGTATACTTTTTATTTAGAGCCTTTTAAATAATTCAATCAAAACTTGCTTTCCAATCACTTTTCCTATATTAAAAACGGCTAAAATTATAAATATTCTACACAAACTCAAAAAATTTAAAACTTCCAATAAGCACATTCAAGCAACTATTCACATCGCTCGATATATGCATATTAATTAAAGGCTTAAATTTCATCTTTTTATTTTTTACGTCCACCACGCTCCTTGATTTGCAGATGAATTGTAGCGCCGCTAAGTAGATTATAATATGCCATAGTATTACTATCCTTGAAGAACATTCCCTGTAATGAAAAAAAAAATTAAATATATTACTATATACCAACACGACATAATATTAATTACATAGAAATTTTTGGTGTGGCCAAATTCTTTATGAGTGGATAGCATGTTTTTCATACGATAAAAGTTTACTTATTATGTTATTGTAGCGACTAGCAATATCATCAGTCTAAGTTTTAAGGTCACTTAAAGAGAAGGAGAAGGGCTGTTTCGACGGGTTCGGAACGAAGAGGTGTGTTAGATGAGTTGGTATTACGGTATTATAGCGTTATGTGCGGTTGTGGTACTTTTCGGAAACTATGCCGCTGTTTCAAGTAAAAACCAGTGATATTGAAATTAAATCTGAGATAAAAAACGGTAGTACAAATTCATTAAAAAAAATTAACAACGAAATGGTTCGTAGCATAGTAGTTTTTCTCACTTCCGAAACCATCAAAAATGCCAATGCCTGGGTCACACAATCAAGCATTGTCGAAACGATCCCGCGTGTGAAGTGTGTAAACATGGCTGTGGACGCAATTTCTAAAAAAATAATGCTCAATCCTACCACCACCTCTCTATAATTTACGATATATACCGACTAATCAAACATATAAGAACAGTATTATCTCTCGACTGGGTAAATTACAATCATCATTACTCAGGGATTAACCAAAATCGCGTCAAGCCAGATTTTCTAAGATGACTATTATAGACTGAATGGAAAACCCGCCAAAATCACTATTCAATGAGTAACCCTGAATGCCAGGAAACAAGATATAAAGACCTATATACTTTTGCCAAGAAAATAAAAATGAAAAAAGCAATACACATTTACACTAACGAAGCTTAAGAAGATAATCTGGAGTTAAGTATCCTTTGATCTTTAAGCCAGCGAGCTGAAGGTGGCAATACTAGTGCTCTTTTCCACTGTAAAGAAGCATATTATCCGTTCTTTCCCACTTTATAATAATAATATCATTATAGAGATACTACATACATTGCATTTATCTTACTTTTAAGGAAGCCGAACATGGGTCTTATAATGTGTATATGTTTCACGAAAATTCGATATATAAATTTGTTACTCTTTATGGTCATACCTGGTTTAAATTTGCTATTGAGCTATAATTTGGACGTGCACTATAATTTTAGCATCAAACACATTTTGTATATAGCAAGTGTGGAAATTGGGTATTTGAGCTAAAGTGGCTCTGGCTTTTGATCTTTCTTTATCGCTGCTTGTACTAGCTCGTTTAATGGGGAGAGATGTTTATAGATAAGCGCGCCGCTGCAACATGCCCTTGGTGAATGAAAAGCGTACATGGCTGTACTGAAAACACGCTGAGCTAAGTCTTACCTCCAAAGTGTTTTAGACTATTTTATATTCACTAACTCATACCTAACAATAATGTTATGCTGATCATATCGATCATTATAAAAAATGTTTTAAAATTTAATTCTGTAGGGTAGTATGGTCTTTAATATATAATATGTTTAACTGAAATAAAGCTAACCTCATATGAAATTTTCTGCTTAGCTGGTGGCATTCCTGTTTCATCTTGAATCTTGGATTTGAGATTCGAAACGGTGTCAGAGAGTGACATTGAGAATGCAATAGTTTGCCCATTTAGTTTCCACTCCGATTTATCTATTACGCTTGGAATTTGTATTTGAATAGTAATAGGGCTCTGTAATGGACATAAAAATATTATTGTAAGAAACAAATATTCATAAAATACTCAAAGCGCTCTATAGTCGTATATCCATTATACCTTGTGATTTGCTATAAACTCTTCTTCCGAAATCAGATTATCTTCTGTTCGCATTTTTTTGTTAGGTGGCTCGTCATCGACGGGCATAGGCGGAATAGATAACAATGATGGATCCATTATATTTGTTCCTGATGGTATTTGTGGTGGTCCACCGGGCTGCAAAGCCATGTAACCTACTGGAAACGGTGGCGCTAAAAATAAAATTTTACTTTTTATAAAAATGCAATGAATACATATGTATATAGATATCACATACGCATTATAGGCGGTGGTGGCCTCATTGGCATTATCATTACTGGTGGAGCAGCAGGTGGCATATTGTGTGAGGGTGATTGCGGTGGCGGTGTTGGCTGCGGCTGCTGCTGTGCTGAATTATGATGATGCGGAACTGAATGATGACTAACTTGAGCATGTGACTTTATAAGTGTCTGATGGGATAATGTGGTTTTGTTGGTAACTGGTTTCGGTCCAATTTTTTCTTTTTCTTCGTCCGGTAATAAACCTTTTACCTGAATATTAAGTGAATTATATTGTATTCTAAACTTACTAAATTTATCACATACCTTATGTATTTGATGAATCTGGTCTTCTAAAGTTATGTTCGCTCGAGCTGCTCGAGTTGCCGCTTCAACACTTGAAGTGTGTCCATCCCAAGTCACTCGATCGTCTTTTTTAGTTTCTTCTTCTCCTAATTTTTTACCAATGACAGTCTCTTCATCACCCACTCCAAAAATATCGGTACGGCGTTCGGCTAATTGTTTTAGACTTGCTTCAATCGCAGTACCAGCTGCATATACTGTTTCCTGGTTAATTTTTTCTACCGTATGTTTGTCTCGTTGTTCCACCCAACGTGGATCTAACAAACCAATTCGCATATGCTCCGCCACTTTTGAAGCTGGTATTTTTTCACCTGTTATTGGAGAAATAAGATATTCATCGGCAGGGACTGGTTTCTGCGGTTTCTGTTGAACTGCCTTTGGATCATATTTTTTAACAACAACCTTGTCATGCGTTGGTGGTAAGAGTGGTGCAACTGCGGGCTGCACCTTTAGGCCTGACGGTGTGTCCTCATCACTAGAAGCTTCATCCATGTCTTGAACTTGTGTATTATCTTTTTTAGTACTTGTAATCTGTTGATTATAAGGAGTTCCTTTCATTTGAATACCAGTACGATTTTCCATTTGGGACAGTTTCACAGTGGTTGCTTCATCTTGGCTGTCTTCATCATCCGATTCAATTTGCATCTCTATATCGCCATCTTCTTCCAACAAGCGCTCTTCCATTAGGACTCGGGCTCCAACTTCTTCTGGTGTAGTCGGGGGAGGGAAATTGCCAGTCTCGAAAGGTTGATAATCCACAGTCTCCACAACAACAAAATCATGCCAATCGATTTGTGCATAGGCCACTGTTATAAAAATTTTCACGGTGAGAATTATCAAAAATTAAGTACATATATGCAAGTGCCCACACAGACATATATAACACTTCAACTAAAATTATTATGAATTAAATTTGATAAACGAATAGTAATTCTAACGTGGTGTAAAGTATAGCTAATGACTCAAGAAATTTTACACAAAGTGACTAAAAAGATTAGATTATTCCGTAGCTCGGTTTACATTTTGGAAAACCGTACTGTGCAATTTAAGGCACCACTAAAACAGGAGCGGTACTAGCGCCACGGTAAAAAAATTACAATATTCAGTCAATACAACACATATCGGTATATGAGTACTCGAACAGTCGCGGTACAGATCCATACCACTACATGCAATATTGAGCGCGCGATCTGAACATACATTTCGTGAGAAGGGTTGCAAATTTGAGCTAGATTTTCAACAAAATTATTATTTTTAATTTTATTTGTTTTAAATATATATATTAATTTTTTATAGGAACATGTGTATATTTCAAATGTTTCACAACTTCTTTGCCATCAATAGTTGTTGAACTCAAAAGCAGAAGAAAAAAATTTTATTCCAGATCTTTGTTAATTACACGGCCCTGAGAGTCTAGGTTTTATGCATGCAATTACGTTTTATTAAAGTACAAATTTAGTGTTTTTTTTTGGTATTTCAAGGGAGCATACATATTCAAGGAGTTACTCTACACAATTTTGTTCATATTTTTGTTCAAAAGCGTAAAATATGGCAGGAAATTCATAAAGGAGATAATACTGGAGATTGCTTCTATATTCTTATATTACCTTCTATTTTTATTCACTGAAATAAAAAAAAATATGTAAATATAATTTCCTAAAATTTTTTAGAGTTTGTCTTCGTATGATAAACAGCTGGGCCTAGTGAGAAGTAAACTTAAAATAATTTCGCACGTCAAGTATTAATTATACCCATAGCATTTGGATACTGAAAATCATCAAATATGCACATCCGTGCCACAATTCATATAACAGATTAAATGCAACTAATTTTTCAGATTTGTGTCATAATTCTCACAACTCACTAGGACCCCCTGGTGTCTTCAAATCAATGAATTCAATCACGTTGCATTCAAAAAAGGAAAACAATCTCGACGATTTTACATCTTGCGCGACCAAAAGAGGCACCAATATGTAATTGCAAACAAAGCCAGGATCAATCCATATTACTCATCAACTCTGAGCACTCGTGCCAAAAGTTTATATAAAATAATCGAAGTCAACTTGTATGACACTGCGTGGTAGAGGTTCAGGAATTTATCTGAGGTAAAGCAGTGTTACTCGAAATGTACTTTGCGAATGATTTTATGGCTACAAAAGCAAAAAAAATTGGGAAAAAAAATATCTAAGAGACAATAGGGCAAAATAAGTCACTTATCGTTATTGCATCTTTAATTGTAAATATCTTGCGAAGGTTATAAGTTACCTCTTTCTTTCTCAATTTTCTCTTCTTCCCTTCGGCGTTGAGCTTCTTGATGCTTTTGCCAGTTAGCGCGATATTTTACCTGATCCAAAATCAAATTAACACTGGATCGACCCTCCGAGCTTTCCGAACGCAACTTGCTGAGGAGGTCTTTAGGTGGTATTAATATTTTGGTGTATTGCTCCAACAACTTTGTGAAATATTGAAATAACGAATGTTGTGGCCGTAAAAAGTCAAACTGAAAATTACGTTGCTCACGATTCATTAGGTTCGTTAAAAACTGTCGTCCATTTCTTGCCACAAACTGGGCCGTAAGCTTGACAATGTCTCTAGAGAAAGGTTATTATGTAACTTTTTATTTAAAACTTAATAATAAAGACTTACAAATCTAATGCAGAAATAGAGGGAGGGTCTGCGATAAACTCGAAATCTTGAGGAGGATCCCTTGGTATGAATTGTTGTTCGGCGACTTGTTTCAAAAGTTCTTGTTGCTTCTGTTGCGCTGCACTTGTTACAGATAACTGTTTAATGCCCGTAACAACATTAGATCCACCAGATGCGTCTACGCTTTCAAAGAAATAAATTTAAATTAAAAAAATATATACGTATTTTAGATATTTCACCGTACCTTTTCCTTCACGAAATTCGTTAACTTTATGCCTATAATAGGCATGGTAGGGATCACCAGCGCTCAAAAAATTAAATTTTGCATTGCCCAACTCGTTTTGTCTTATACGAGCTTCAAACTCAGGACCATTTCGGGCCACAAAGCTAGCAGTTTTATCGACAATATCTTTTCATTAAAATTATTATATATTAAGGAAAACAGTTGAAAAAATATTTTCAAGCATGTAAAAAATGGTTCGAATATTTTTGAATTTTTCAAAAGGATACTTCTTACTTCCGGTGGAGGATATATGATTCCAATTACGGGCCCCTTCATAGGCTTCGATTGGTCGACGCTTGAAAGCGAGTCGGCACCATTATTATTTTCCGTTTCAAGCGCAGGCATCTATCGGAAGAAAAATATATATCAATTAAAGCCTTTTTCTTAACACTTTTATAATATATATTAACATAAACACACCGTAAACAATAAATAGTATTATTTTACACAATTTCGAAGCAAACACAAATTTTGTCTCACTATCTACCAAAGAAGAACATTGCAAAATAATCGATTGAAATGTAATCGGTGTTTTGTGATAGGGTGCCCATTCATCTCTTAGTTTAAGGCAACATACAAACAGACGTGATGAGAAGATTTACGATATGCGGACAATGCTCTACCAAAATTTTAATATCCCTGCATTTATATAATAATAAAATTCTGATTCGAACATTTATTTTTTATTTTACATATACTTCGCTTATGCTTAATTTCTACTCGGGTTACGTGTACAGGTATAAACGCCAAATGTTCTACTCAAGGTGTCTTCAGAATGGTGTAATATCAGGGCAGCCAAGCCCAAGTTTGCTAAATTTTGGTACAATTTTGGTTAATAATTGTATTTTTGTCTAAAAATATGCAACATGGAAAATCTGTATCAATCAGGTTATATGCTAATCAGCTGATTTCAACTCAACCCGTGTTTATGCTAACGAGTTAACTTTTCTACGTATGCAGAGAAAATGTGTATAATCTACTCGAGTAGACGCCTTAACTCATGATGGAAAAATGCTTATGCTTGCGAGTACATTTTACCCGAGTAGAATAAATCAGAATAGAAATGAAGCTAAACGTAGTTTTAGACATCTTTCAACTTCAAAGAAGCTGCGTCACCAAGGCATGACACTATTGAAGACTTCTGCATATACGGTTTTGCTTACAATATTTTGCTGCCTTTTGAAAACGAATTTAATTTTGTACTGTAACTTCTTTTCTATGCTATATAAACAATTTAAATAATCTATGTTTGTAAAAATATTGGAATATAGACTGAATCTTAATAATGTTTGTATGTATTCATACGAGGGGATTAACAAAAGTTTGGTCAGCTGGAGACTTTCAATTTTTTTTTGTTAAATCTAAATATACCAAATCCTTTGCAATTTCTTTATTGGTTTTCCTTCCAAATTCTAGAACGATCGGCAGAAATGGGGATGAGAAAACTCAAGACACCAACACAAAAAGAAATTCGCCATGTGATTCTCTTCAAGTTTTGGCGTATCTTACATCCAATACAAATAGTCACATTGCATATTACTTTGAAGTGATTCCGAAGATTCCCGACCGGCCATTTTTCCGTAGAGGGCTAGCCCCGAGAAGTTCGATCAACATTTTTCACTGATGACGTCACAGTGGCTCAGGTAAAGTCCAAAATTGACGAAGACCAATGATTAACGCAAGAAATTATTGCTAATGGATAGGGCTTGAATGCCATGGCTGTATCCCCAATATTAAATAATCATCTGGAATACACGAAGAGATTTGCTTGACGGGTTGTATAAGTACAATCCAGAAGGCAAACAGCAGTTCATGATATGGAACCCAACAGGAGCAAACCCACTCGTAAAATCTAAGCAACAAGAATCAGCAGCAATAGTAACGATGCCAGTTTACTTCACCTGCTATTCCACTGGATAATGGTGAGAGGGTAACTGCGAAATGGTACACCGAAGAGTGCATACCAAAAGTTTTGAAAATTTTGTTGGAAAACAGGAAAGAGAAGATTTTTTACATCATGACAATTCGCCATCCCACACTGCTGATATAACGAGTAATTTTATTGCGATCGAATAAATATGTCCAGCACCATGTTCCCCAGATATAGCATCTTGCAATTTCTGATTATTTTCAAAAGTTCAAAAAAAAAAATAAAAGGAAAGGTCTCTTGCGTAGAGATAATTATTGCTGAACTGAACTTGATAAGCTTAAAATGCAAGAGTTTGAGGAATGTTCGCAGAAGTGGATCTTTCCGAATCAATAGCTGTTTTGAAGTGAAGATAAAAAAGGACAAAGATTACGAATAAATACAAAAAGAAGTTTTTTTGACCAATTTACCGAATTTAATGCCCTGTTATATATATGTGTTTGTTAACTTCAATATTGGTTTTTGTTTTTTTTTTTGCCTCAGTGCTGTCGCTCAGCTGTGTTCTGTTTGTCAGACAAGAATGACGAAAATGCACAAGAAAATGAAGAAAGAACGACATACACGTATACGTAAACATCACATTTGTTATTTCGGCCTTAAGAAAGTGATGAGCTTCCTGACCTGTTGTAGCAAATGATCGGAAGCCTTTATGCAGGGACTTCAGCGATATTCGAAATCGCTTGATCAGCTGCTGTCGTAAACTACTGGATAAATCGCTAGCTAAACGATGAATATTTTGAAGTTGTTAGCGCCTCCGATAAGATATTTATATTTTATTAACGTTAATGTAAAGAAGCGATCTGAATGATCGGGAAATTACAATACATAGGCTGTATAAAAAAAAATAAAAATGCCATTTGTATATTAAGCATGTGTTTTTTCCCAAGATGGCGCGGTATCGACTCTTCATCATTGATTTCAGGGAATATTTTGGGAGTGACAGGCCTTGCGCGGATAAAAATCCGGATTGTTCCGGTATAATGACCCGTTGGAGAGCAATGGAGAATATCTATGAGTCAGTTGTCTGTAAGCCGTTGTATCTATCGCGTAACCTTTTAACCAAGATTTGATTTCACATTTCTCATAAGAAATTTTTTATTCATCATCGACATCCTTTGCTGGAGGCGTTATTGGTGTTATCGAATCACGAAGAAGCCTATGATGCCATTCTGCCAATGTACAAATGGACAAAAAGACAAAACTAAAAGGAAGTTAGGTTACTTGATGGACCATACAATGAGTCAGTTAGAAAGTAAACTCGCTAGTTACAACATTGTTAAAATGATTAGAGCTGTAAAATAAGTCGTCGTGTATTTAGTGACTTTTATTAAACGATCCAACGGAAGTTCCAGAAAACCAGCTGTTCCAACAGGTTCGGTTCAGAGGGAAATGGAGGTTAGAGAAATTGGTCTTAAGTTACATGCGGAACTCATTGCATGCAGGAAATGCGTTGTGTATGTCGGACTTAAGTCTGGATAGATAGGGATTTAATCAACAACAATATCCACATCTGATTTGGACCAGTATTACGAGTCATCGATTCCCCGATTTCCTCATTGATTCTTACAGGAATCCGGTCTTTAAATCTAATTTGCACCTGCCTAGCCAAACGCAATCTGCGAGCGGCTCTATTTAAAAATGTGTTAGAAATAGCTGCGCCTACTCGCATATGTTGTAAGCCATTAGCATCGTCCGCCAGAAACTCGTAACTTGGCTGCCAAATCTGATGTGGAAACTATAACCGCGAATCGCCTTAAGTCATCTCTTGCAGCAATATTTAATGTCGTTTCGGCAGGATATCTGCTTCGATTATCCACCGTTATTTAAATATCCAATTTGGAGGAACGCTTCTATTGTCTGCTATCGCCGGAAATGGTATTGTAGGAGTAAAACTTGCAGCTATCTCACTCACTGGGCTAGCCAACTCACTCTGTATATTGTACTTTCGCCCTTTAAGTTTGGTTTTCCAAAGATATCTGGGGCCACCAATTTGAAAATTGAAACTCTCTCTAATACGGTACAACTAGGATTGACTATTCTTTATTCTTCGCCATATCATTATCTCTAAAAGCTAAACCACAGCCAAAACATTTTCATTTATTCATTCATTAGTTCGTATTTACATACATAAGTATTTACAGTCATAATTATGATACCTATTACTTTAACTTATTAAAGATAATATAAACGACGTGGTTTGCATTATATATGTATATGTTGTATGTTTTTACAGTTACAGTTACAGCGTACACTAAGCCCCTCGGAACGGCTGAACTTTTACTCAACTTCAGAAATACATTTGGAGGGCTTGACCACTCGCCACTCGGGAGACCGCAATTAGAAAAATCGACATAACGGTGTTCGGCAAGTTTAACTTACGGGGCGCATCTTGATGTTTTTCTAACAAATGGAGAAAAGAGATTATGAAATACCTTTGTATATTAAGGGGGTAGCCTGGTTTAGAGGGTAAAAAAATCAATTTTTTGATACTTATCCCATTCGATTAGAAATATATTCAGAAATATTTCCACAAAATTTCAGAGTCGAATTCCTAATCGTTCCGCAGAAATGGACTCTGAGAGGCAATGCGCTCAGTAGACTGATAAGCGGGCACGAGAACTTTGAACGCGATATTCTCAAGACAGTGTTTTTCTGTTTTGTGCACACGATTAAAAAGTTGTAACCGTTGCATTTTCATAAGTGATAACTTTGTTTACAGCTAATAGTGTAGGCTTCTATGTGAACCTAGAAAATCACAATAAAAAAACTTTTATTAACTTTTTTCAATAAATTATCTTAAAAATTTCTTCAGAAAAACGCAAAATTTTTTATAAACAGTCATAAAATAATTTATTCTATACATTTCTTCGAATACCTTAGGTTTACATAAAAGAGCATTTCCTGAGCTACAAAAAAAGTATTCGTTTTTATGTTTCAGATGAAAACTACGATCGCTATCGTGTTCACCAAATAGAGAGAGCGAGAAGTGCCATAAACAAATACGAATTGTTATTGCTTAAAAGTATCAAATAAAGTGAAAGTAAATTTTTTTTGCAAGATTTGTGTATCTATGACCTATCTTAAAAGTACTTGAAACATTTCATACGTAAGGCAACCTAAAACACTGTGCCGAATATCATGCAATTTTCAGCGTTCTAAACCAGGTCCGCCCCTAAAAGAAAACTTTCTTTATTAAAATACTTATTTTTTATTATACTTTTCGTAAATCACACAGAATAAAGTTATGGCATTATTTCTTCGATCTATCTGTATATATATTCTTGGACATGAAGTAAATTTAAGCTTATACATACATAAGTACATATGTACCTATATACATGAGTTTGATATTGATATTCATATGAATTCACAAATTCCCAGCAAGGAAATGTATTGTCAATAACTGTTATATTAATTTGCATTTTTATACTAGCCAAGCCCATCTTTCGAAAATTTTCATGTCGATTGTGATTATATTAATACGGTGAGATCAAACGAAATATGAATTGTCGGTGAATAATCGCACCATTTTATTAAAATAATGGTTACTTATGCAAGTTAAGGCATCTCCCGGCCGCGGTGGGGGAAGGCCCGGGTTCAAATCCTGATACGGTTACTGGTTGTTATATAGTTATAGAAAATTAATTTTAATAAAAAATTAAGTAAAATTGTCTAATGTCCTCATAATAAAACCATCAGCCGTTCGGAGGCATCTCAGTGTAAACTGTAGGACTCTCCACTTGTTGGAAAAACATCAAGAACGCTTCGGCGATTAAAAAGCCCAATGTGCAATTATGTGTATACATACACGTATATAAGATATCTCCCCGCAAGTAAAAAATGTACAAACCTTTATTCCTGAAGGCCATAACCTCTAACATCTCAGTTCTGACGATGTTATTAAAGGTGCTCTAAAATAGACCATACATGTATAAGAATAGAACACATCCATGGGAGAGTGGTTGTAGCACTAAATATTCCGTTAGAGTGAATTGGTACAGCTACAGCTGTGATTAGTTTTTCACTGTAGGGCTTGAAATGTGTATATGAAGCTTATCATCAAAGATCTACATACTTTCACACATGTATAAAGACAATTTATGTAGAATACTGTTGTTTGCTGCAATGAGTTGAGATTATTTCATCCCGAGGTTTAAATATTGAAGACAGTTGTATAGCACAGCGTCAACAAATTTCATTAAAGTGCTGATTTTGAAAAGTGGCCAAAATGTGGAATAAAAATAAAAGTTTTTCAGCTCAACAAACACAAAACTATATAAACTTCAAATCAACATTTTTGATAATTATAATTTACAGCTGGATATTAATAGCCGATATAAGTAAATTATATTTTTCTTTCTTCTTTAAAACATTATTGTAATTGTTATTGACGATTATTATGTATTGCATCGGATCTTTTAAACATGAAAACAAAAACAAAGTTCATTTCTATTACAATCGTATTCTTAAAGATAATACAATGCCGTCAGTGCACAGAAAAGTAGATGATTACACGGTGTTCGGTTTTAAAACTTGAACAAAACAGACCTAAGCTTATACAAATCTTAAAAAAAAAATTCATGAAAATATTCAAAATTCAAGTTTACAGAATCCTGATCTTAAGGGTCTCAACCGGTGATTTTTAGAATTTTAGTTTAAGCAAGCTTTTACGGTGTTAAGTGTATATTTGTCTATAAATAGGTATCTTTACATTTGTTTTCAAACAAGTCTCAATTTCACTGTCATCCCATACGCCTTCAGGATGCCAGAAATGAAAAACGACAAAAAAAGGCGTTAATACAATCCTCTGTATGAACTCTAAAGTGATTGAGGTAAAAGAAATTAAATTAAAAAAAAAAAATGGAATCGTCATCGATCGAAATATCTGAGGACCACTTTATGTCTGAAAAAATGCTGCATACGTTAAAAAAAGTTTCAAGTCGAGCGGATGACGAGTTACAATGACAACAAATTTTGAAAACTCTGTTTCGAGAAAAACGAGTTTGAAAAAGGAAACTTACACTTAGGCCCGTTTTCACAATATCCCTGTATCCGGAGAATAGTTAACCGTCAGATGCTGATGTAACACTTTTGTTTTCACTAAGTTCTGGTTAATTAACTTCTAGTTAGTTTGAACACTGTAAATATTTTGAGGTAAAATCACAAAAATTTCCGTTGTGAATACATCAAAACTGCATGCCAGCTGGTATTTGTTTACATTTTTCCATACGATGTGTAATTTTTAAGAACTTCCGTTTAATGTTTTAGTTGTTTTTTTTTTAATTTTGTTTTTCGGTTATGAAAAAAAAGAGATTGTAATGTAATGAAATTATTTTCATATATTCTTATTTGAAACAAAAGGACTTTTAGGGTTTTAAAGTAGATGTAGAAATAAAAAGTATGTAACATAGTTTCCTTTCGCCTCAGCTGTTTTCGTCGGCACCAACGGATGTTACTGGTTCATGCGCTTGAACTTCTACTTCATCCAAATTACAGTCACTATAGATGGCAACACTGTGGAATACTCTGATGTTAGTAGTTGTGATGAGCGAAACTGTCAATCCAAGTGATAATACTACAAAACGGCGTTTCCACACTCCAGCCTTTCTCTATATTTCAAGTATGAACTTGAGACAACTATTATTAAATTATTAAAAATAGTACTGTCATGTTCAAAAACAGGTTACCTGCATACAAGCTCCGTTATTTCCTTTCTAAAAGTACCCTTTTCTACTTCGAAACCTTCGGAATTTTTTTCTCCAGGTGATTGGATCGATTCGGACATGAATGGAAGCTAAACAACTCAACTCTTTTGGAGGTGACTTTGAAACTTCGCTATTCCCTACATCAATGGAAGAATACCGACTGACAATCGCCACTTTTATTCCCCACAAACCAGCATCACAAATTAAAGAGCTTGTAATTTAATGAAATTTTCTTCATATATTTTTATTTGTGAAATGGACTTTGATGGTTTTAAATTACATGTATAAAATGTATGTAATATATGTACATGGTTTCTTTGCACTTCAGCTATGTTTTCGTCGGCATCAACGGATGCTTCTGCTGGTTCAATCATTAGAACTTCTACCTCATCCAAATTAGAGTCATTCTAGATAGAAAAATTGTGCAACAATCTACAGACAACAATGATGTTCACAGTTATGCTGAGCGAAACACCCAATCCATAGCTCCTCGATATGCAATTTCGAGTAGGGATTTGATATTCATTGTAAATACGTTCAGCGCGAAGATTGGAAGCTAAAGTTGATGGAGTTGCTGACAAACAATAACCGCTACCACCCAATTAAAAGAAGTCCCTAAATTTGTTTTGTTCACCTGCATACAAAGTCCATTACTTTGATTTTACAATCACCCTTTTTTGTTTCGATAACTTTCGACATTTTCTTCTTCAGGAAATTGAATTGCTACATGAATGGAATCTTAACCCCCCAACACGTTTGGAAACTTCCCAATTAGCGGAAATGTGCGCATTGAGCTTTCAGTTTCCCTGCTTTTTTCGGTATTATAAGAAATGATTGGACAAGTGCCGCGGTAGCAATGGATTCTATTTTATTTGTTATTTTACAATTTTTAGCTGTCAAATTGTTTTATGGATAAGAGCTAATCGCCACTCAATGTTGGCGTTCAGTTAACCGCAACTTAATTGACAGATGCGCCTTAAGCGGACGTTGTGAAAACGAATTTTATGATACCTTCCGATTAAGTTATTATTAAGTGCTTAACCAGAGATGATGACAGTGGCCTTTAAGCTTACATGACTGATCGCACGCGTTTTAAATGACGAAACTATTACAATTACGCTTCTGAGGTGGGAGTATGTTTTATTCGAAGGTATAAGCTATCGAAGAATGTCAAAAAAGAGTCGATTTTTTTAAAGTTTCACGTTAAACTACAATTATGCATTACTCCCCCTACAAAAGTTTCCGACATTGAACCTAAAAGCTAATTGCTTGAACCCCTTTCAAAAGTATTTTCGTAAATTACTGTTTTCCAAATTTGTTTATATAATATTATAGGATTTACCAAAGAACGAGTCGAAAGCAATGTTCCATTCAAAAATTTGAATTTAATAATAACTCTGTATGGATAAACCAAATAGTGTGCAAAAATTTTAGTTAAATACTAGTACTAGTGTCAAGAAGTCCACCATTAACGGGAGAAATAATAATTTCCACCACCGTTTGTTGTTATTAAATCGGCACACCGTGGCTGAATTCCCTTTCCTGCTCTGTTGCTATGGAAGTGCGCAATTTATCACTATACAATTGATAGTACGGACTCCATACAACTGAGCCATGATCCAAAATGAGTCTAACAAGTGAGGTAAAGAGTAATTTGGTAATGTATGGGTCCTTGAATTCCTTAGCTCAACGTTTAATGAAAGCTAAAGCTCCTTTTGCCTTATTAGCACAAGCATTTATATGATTTCTAAAAACTAGCTTAGGGTCCAAGTCAGCTCAGCGTTGTGATTATGTATTATATAGGCAAAGGATTGGGGCATACAGTTCGCATCGCACCACCCAACTAAATCATTTAGGTCAAGTTGCAAATAGAGGACTTCAATAGAAAGAACTGATTTAAATTTAGAATGAAGAACCACATTGATGAATTTAAGGAAGAGTAAGAGGCCGAGGCGACTGCCTGGAGAAACACCAGATGTTACTGCTATTTCACGTGATGTACAACATTTAAAAATTAATTTTTGCGAAATAGAAATAATGAAATAATTTAATTTAGCTAGCTTAGAAACAAGCGAAATAGTACAGATTAAGAGGCAATGTAATAAAACCAGGATCAGATGATTTCTGTTAAACTGAATTATATATATGTACGAGGTGTGACAATTAAGTAATGAGACTGACCCGCTTGGATGTCCTCAATCGACTCAAAATCCTCCTTTGACCACCGATTTTGTTCAAGAGAACAGAAAAAGTTACAGGGTGACATATCAGGCGAATAAGGGGGTTTTTGCAATCCCTTTAGAGGCCAAATACTAAAACATGCTGATGAAGGATCGAGTTACGAGCGATGTCTGGGCGCACCCTGTTGACTCGTTTTAGCCTTCTTCCGAGTACTTGGCGATAGTAGACTTGACTTACTGTTTGCAAAAGCGGAAGAAATTCATACTAATGAAGCTAGAGCGATGGCAAATATATCAATGGAGAGGAGAAGGATGCCGTGAGAAGGGAAAGGGGATTTCAAGGTCGAGGGATACCACAATCGTGGCAATCTCATTAGTTAATTGTCACACCTCGTGTTTATGCATATGAAGAAAGCAAATAATTAAAAAAAAAGAAAATATTAGCACTATTTAATGTTTGAAATGTGCACATAAATTAAAAGATTTTAACAGAGCACTTAGGTACGACGGTACGTTAATGTATATAACAAACTTTTAAGATAAATATTTAAGATTTTGGCACTTTAAACTTAAAAAAATTTAACAGAAGTTAGATGTAAAGATTTAGTCAACCGCACAGCCCGAACTTCCGAACATCTTTTTAAAAACATATACTTTTCTTCTTCATTCAAAACAGATGGTAAAAACGTCAATGAAGGATCTTTCAAATACCTAGAGAGTATTTCTGCTGAGGAATGGAAGCGCGATTTGGAGTTTGGAATTGAATCTTTTAATGCACAAATAAGGTAGAGTACCTTAAAAACTTAATAACGGTTTCAGAAATGGTGCAATTGTTTTGGGGGTAACCTATATTTCCTTCCGAACCATAGATTAGTGCTTAAGCCTTGGCGGCTTTAAAGTATGCGTATAGAGCTCGCCATTATAGAGTGGAAGTAAACAGTTTTTTCAGTGAGAAAGCGAGGCCACTTATATGAACGGTTCCGCTGCCCAGCTGGTTAGCCTCACAAATATTAGCGCCACTAATGAGATGCAATTAACAGAGCAAGGACGGACCAAGACGAAACCTTGTGGAATTTACTGCAGCTGTCATTTAAAGGAGTGCAATTGTGGTGTTTTAGCGAAAATTCACAACATCCCCGAGAACAATTTATGCCCTGGTGAACAAACATTTCGCTAAAATCCCAGATATATATGTAGGTTTCTCAATTATTTCTGATTTGCGCCCACGCCTACGACGATGATATCTTTTACATCTTCTTCTTTAGAAGTGCTTTCTATTATCTCAGCCAAGATATGCATTCGTCTCTAAGCATTGAAGAACGCTTATCAATGAAAACAATTCGAAGAAGCCGAGTTGAGTTGAAAAGGGAAGCGAGACTTAATTGCATCCAGAAAAATAATGAGGCTCGAATGTGAGAATAATTTCTTCGTCTTCTTCATTGGCGTAGACATCTGTCACGCGATTATAGCCGAAACAACAAAAGCGCGCCATTCTTACCTTCTTTTCACTGTTGGACGCCAGCTGGAAATACTAAGTGAAATCAGGACGCTACTCACTCCACTCCTCCGCAGAATCTTCTTTCTCTGCTTCCAGTGGTGGGTACTGTATCGAAAACTTTCAAAGCTTTCATACATTCTGCCAGCGCAGCCGCTGCCTTTTATGCACTCAGCTATGACAATGACGTAGTATAATTCGTACTGCTCATCGTTCCATCGTTTGCGCCATTTGTCATTGCCAATGTGCAAAGACCATAAATCGTTAGCAAAACTTTTCTTTCGAAGACTCCCAAGTCCTCATCATATGTCGACTTCGTTCACATTTCTGCACCATATAGTAATACGGGAATTATGAAGATTCTTTGAAGGAGAAGGTGAGGAGAAAAAATACGGTGTAAAGATTTGTGTTTCGTATGAAAAATTTTTCGCAGACTTAATTTTTTTGGTGACAGGAGCGATTCGAAACTGGTACTGATAATCTTTAGAAGGCCACGCAGATGACCAAAACTTCATGTTAGACTAAAGTTATCTGTTGACCTAAACGGGGTTAGGTCGCCGAAAGGCGAAACAGCTCGTTTCCTGGACCTACCATTAGATGACCTCGGCGGGGTTAGTGAACCGCTACAACAACAACCAAAACTTCATGTACTCCCCAATGAAAATCTAAACATTATTCGAAACAAACAGCGAACGGAGAGGCTAATCATAGAAAATAATAGCTCAGTGAGGTAAACGGAGATATAATAGAGAGTTTGTATAAAGCTAAACTCATAGTAAATTTTGAAAAAAACCAAATTTACACTTAAGAACTTGGGTTAAGTGGTTAGCATAGTGACTGCATAAGTAAGCACAGAATCAAGAAATGCGAAGTTCAAATACTGTGTGCAGGGTCTACCGTTCATCACAACCTTTTAGGAAAGATTTTTTAAATTTTAAATTTATTCGATGTTTCATTTTTTTCTAACAAACGGAGAGACCTACAGTTTATTCTTACCCGCCTTCGAAGTTCATGTAAGGAATACACTCGGTTACAATTAAGAAGGAAAAGAATAGATGAAAATCAGATAGACTGGGAACCGGGTGGTTCTCTATACGGAGCAGCAGAATATGTTGGATACACTTACGGGCACATCTTGAACTACATGAAGACAATACCCTTTTCCCTTTGCTATCAAGAAAAATTAACTGAATAAAATGAAATTGTGTCGTTTCGGCGCTATGTTATCAGAGCGAAATCTAAAATTGGAAGAAGAAAATACTCAAAGAGAAAGCAAATTTTAAGTTCAGCGATAAATAGCAATTATCAAGACTAAAAGCTATGCCCTCCAGATTGTGATTTTTCATTGAATCATGAAATATGTATACATATATGTAAGAGTCATTAAACACATACAAATCTTACGTTAATTTTAGGGCACCCTATTTAATGGAATAAATTTGGAGCACTTACTCTCGTAAGCGAAAAATGGCAAAGAAGTTAGGATATTTTAAATATTATATAATTTTGTTTAACGTGAACTTAAATATATGATAGAAATTGGCAATATACTATTGAAATAAATATTATCACTTTTCATTAACATATTTATGGGAAAAGGCAAAATGATTGGCTTAATGAACTTGGGTTTTATTTTCTTATATGGTGGTGGGAGGAATTGAGCGTAATTGCTTAGATTAACTGAGAGGCAAAACATAAAGTAAAGAATAGTGTTAATATAGGGAGCGCTATCTGCATAGGAGCCAAGTAGTGTTCATGGCCGTTTGCTCCGTTCAAAAGAATTGAGTGGACCGACACACACTGTACTGTTTTTCGTTTTTATCCTTCGAAATTCTGTACATGACAAGCTAGGACCACGGTGAACTAATCCTAGGCAGTTGACGATTAAAAAATATTTCACATGCACATATTTCGTATCATTTTAACGATTTGTAATAATAAACATATCTTTTTTTTATTAAGGCTTGAAAAGAATCTTATAAATTCGCACGTTTCTGTGGAAAATGGTAGCATATCCCACAATCAAATCCTGGATGCATTGCCGAACGAAGCAGCTAAAATGGATAATAACATCGCCAGGAAGCTTTTGGCAGCGAGCAATTACATCCTACACAGTAAATGCTTACCCCATTTCATTCAGGGCGAGGAATGCCAACAATTTTTGACATCAAAGGCTATTCCAGATAATAGTCTTTTGTCACAAGAATGCTTGGAAATTATTGAAAATCGTCGTAATGGCCACAACTCTTTCCGAAGATTACTGAACCGGCGTTATAATGACGGCATTTATCAGGTACCCTTATACACTACCGTTATAAATTGAGTTGGTATTATCACTTTCTATTAATTTGAAATATATTAGTAGATAAGGGGGAAAACCCAACATTTTTGTATTCCCGACTGTATTGTGTGCACAGTGTGTATTGGGTATCTATGCTAAATTCATAGATATAAATAATGAAATCACGTATCAAGCTTCATTAGCGTCGGTCTGCTCTTGTAACAGCTAACTTTAGTAAAAATATAGACGAATACATTCTTTAAAAGCTTTAAACCGGTTAAAACAGCCGCTACCTATGAAATCTTTCCTACCCTGTTGGAAAATATGTTAAACTTATTTTCGAAAAGACTTACACGCCGCTTAGGTTGCTCCGAACTTTTAACACCTACCGACAGCGTAAACAGCTAGTCGCCTAAATGTAAATTAGAACTTTCATAGAACAATAAAGTCTACAATACCAAAAACTGGAGCCGTTTTCGAAGCGATGGTTGAGTTGAGTTGAGTTGATGCGGCTGTTGTTGCCAGCACACTTAGGCCAATAGGCCTATTGTGATACCGCTGAGTCTCCTGCCTTTGCCTTCTCAAATGATCGAACCATTTCATGTGCCTTATAAAGGCAACGATATTTCCAATATTCGCTGAGGCTATCTCAGCGAGACAAGAAATTTGAATTGCGCTGATGTCAAGGCTGGACAGTGGCAACGATTGTGCGTTTTCTTTGATTCCTTTCCCTTCGTGCGGCAGCGTTTGATATATTTTTTTTGGCATTGTCACCGCTAATAGATACCGTTAGCACACAATATACATACGAGTGTTATAAATAAAACCTCTTATACAAATTTTGGTCAAAGTATACAGGAACTCACTAGCCACTCTATTAAGAAAATAACGGCTAAATTAGCGCACTTAACAGTTGTTGGTTCATAATGAAATGAATAATATTACATGGCTGATGTTGGCACGGTGGTATAACACTCGCCTGTTAATTTAGGATCCGTTGGTTCGATCCCTGCCAGTCGAAACAGCTGTCACTTCTATCAGTGCTCACTGAAAACTTTTAACAGAATTTTTTTTATTCCACATGAAACCGTATCGCATTACTCGTCACATGAGATATTTCCGCTTCCTGATTTCGAACGAATGTCTTTAGTACGATATCGGAATCGACAAAATTTCTGTTGAAGGAGTTACAAATCCCGATTATTGATTTGTATATCGGTTTCATTTTCGAAACCGAATTTTTGTCGATTTTAGGTGTAACAGAAACCGATTTATCTGTTTAAATGTCAGAATTAAACCGAGTTGCAAGAATTGCTTGCTAAGTTCTTTGAAAGCGGAAATTTAATAAAGATGCATGTCATGAACAATGAGTTTGACAACCAGTAATCCATAGATCGCGGTACTTGGTGTCACAAGTTCTCCGCTTTTTATTGTCGTTCATTCCTAACTTTATCAAGCGTAGACAAACCAACCGTTCTTTAGTACTTCTGTTATAACCACCGATACTGTAGATCGCGCTAAGAAGATATTTGAGTCATTACCCGCAGATCGTTGATGGGCGCATTCTGCCAAAATCTGCAGAATCGTTGCAAGTCGGAACACAGGTGGGATAGACGGCCTATTTCGCGTTTTCTTCCGCTTGTTTCCCCAAAGCTTTTTATCATCAAAAATGCTATCACGACTGAAGTCATTAGTGGTATTCTCTTGACCTTGCGTGATCATGGCACGATGCACGGATTGCATGGATTTCTTAAGTATCCAATTCGTGCAATATCATAACAACAAAACACATGCTAAAAGTTTTATGCAATAGCTACAAAATATGCCCCACCTGAACCCGTAAGAGTACATTTTTTAAAGTTTAACAAATCAAGTAAATAGTTACCATCCATTAAACAAGATATTGAAAACTTTTATTCATTCGCAAGAGTTCGACACTTCAAATCAGCTGGCGTGTTCTCCAAATCTAGCATTTTTGCAATTCGTGCACAGTGCATGGTCAAGAGCTGATTCGAAAATCGGTTTCATAACACCATTTCAAACAGATACTGATTTTCGATGCCGATAAATAAGGAATTATGTCCTGTATGTCTTTTTAAAACTCGTTAATTTTGTCAGGCTACGTATAAGACTCTTCACCCCTCTAAATATATACTTGCCGAGTCCCAAGGTTACAACATAAAAACCACATGTTTGCAGGTCTTTCTGTGCGATTTTTGAGGATCAACTCTCTTGTTCGCATTAGAGTTAGTTTTATATAACTTTTCCTATTTATTTTAATTTTAATTATTTAAAGAAATGACGGTTCAATGTCCGAGACCTTTACGGTGGATGTAAAATCTGTGAATTTGCTCTATCCCAAGCTATAAAAGTGTAAGGACCTTATTTCTAAGATTTTTTTTATCGACTTACTACTTTTGGTTTAGTTGCGAGCGTTTTATGGCAATCGTCGTATATGGTATTGTTTATTAAAATAATTAAAAACCACATTGGTAAATAACTGGCTTTTACAGGCCTATTCTCACTGTTACCGGTAAAGTAAATTTTGCTACTTATTTTTATCACCCGAAATTGAATTTGGTTTTTTGGCGAACTGGTTAAAATGTTTGAAAAAAATTGGGCACCACTGCTTTTTCCCTCCTTGTAAAACTACATTTTCTATTTGATGAAGTATAAAAGAAATGGAAGACGGTGCACTTCAAAATAAATAAATAAGTTTTATTTATTAAATCATAGATATTTGAACCTAATTTTGGAAAATATGCCTTAACGACAAAAAAGCTGAACGAAAACGCTGTCTTCCAAATTAAAGAAGCCATTTTTTTCTCGCAAACTTCTTGGCCTATCATAGGCCTACACATTTTAGTTTTTATTTTTTCTTAAACTAACAACACAAAACCAAATAGTAGATTTTTTGTTACCTCCTATTTCGCTGGTAGAGGGTGACAGTGAACTCAGAATACGAAATAGTAACAAAATTTATGGAATGGTAAATTTTATTACCTCGACAGAATAGGCCTGTTAATATAAAATTTCCTTAAATATGTCTAATGTAGTTCAGCTCTTTACATATTTATATCTTTTCAGATCCTACCTCTGATTTCGCCTTTAATGGTAAGTACAAAACTTCAAAACTTGAACTTGGGGGCGCGGAGTAAGGAGCTGGAGGACAGAGAGAGAAATATGGCGGTGATACAGTGGACACAATTTATCGAACATGATCTGAGTAAACCTGTGGTTACAACAATGAGTAAAGATTTAAGAATAAAAATGAATTACTCTTATAACTAAAAAAAATTATCGTAGGGGATGGAAGCTACATTGAATGTTGTGATCGTGACAATTTTGAACTCTTACCAAGATATCGACATCCTTCTTGTGAACCATTGGTAATGACTAGTGGAGGATCAAAATATGCAAAAATCAACTGTCTGAATTATGTGCGAAGTGCAGTTGCTGTCGGCGCTAAATGCACTTTTGGCGATGTTGAACAGGTAAATCCAAATAATTTAAATTAAAAATGTTATATAAATAATAATATACTTTCCTTTAATAATAATTGGATTTCTGAAATATTTCAGTTAAATCAGGCAACATCCGATTTAGATTTATCGCAGCTTTATGGTACTACAGATGAAGCCCAAAATCGTATACGCTCTTTCTTTAAGGGCCAAATTAAGTCCAGCGGAAATGGGAGGTCACAAAAGCGCTACAATGATCAATTACCGTTAATTAATGAAGGATCGCAAAAATATTGCGCTTTTAAAAATCATTTCAATCATACTGGTCGATGTTTTATGGCAGGCGATTCGCGTGTTAACAGTAGTCCACTTACAATATCAATTTATACGTTGTTTATGAGAAATCATAATCAGATTGCTGAAAAACTCGCAATTAGATATCCATCTTGGAGTGATGAGGATCTCTTTCAAACCACAAGAGCACTAAATACACAAATATATAGAAATATTATTTATGACGAGTTGTTACCTATTGTATTGGGTAGAGACGTCGCTGATAAAATAAAACAAGGGAGCTTCAGAAAGGCTCATGTGGATGATGAAAGGATTTCTAATGAATTTTCAGTCGCTGCCATGCGTTTTTACTTATCGATGATGCCCAATTTTCTAAAGAATTCTACTGAAGCTAAACGTTTGAAGTATAGTACATACGATCTGGTATCTAATCCAAATAGGTAGCGTATTTAATATGGTCTACTTAGTATGCATACGAGTACATATGAATGGACAAACAGTATTAATATAATTGCCGCTTTCTACCGCTCAAGCGATTTTCGGCCGAACTCCTCCTCCAATTAGTTTTATATTGTAGTTTTGATGTTTTCTCAGAAGCTTATACTTAGACGCCTCCGAACAGCCGAAGGATTTATATGAGGAGATTCTGATTTCATATCAGAAATACACTCGGGGGGGCTTAATCAGGGCCACCACTAGATATCATAAATGTAATATAAAATCTTTTACAAGTAAACTGTCGACTTCGCTAAAGCCACTTGCTAATTGAACGAAATTCGGCCGAGCTCTTCCTTTAATTCGTGGCGATTAAATTACATTTTTTATAAAAGGACTAAGTCTTTTTTAAATCGCCTCCATTCGACTGATGGATTTTTATTAAACCATTTTTCCCGTGCCAGAAATAGGATGAGACGATTTGAAATTATGTCGATGTAAAGGTTGGCTAGGTCAACATCCACAATTATGTAATGAATTGTTTCTCCAAATACTCTCAACTTCGGCAAAAAAAAACTTATCCATAACTGACAGTAATACAATAACTTCTCATCAAAATCCATTAGTTGTTTGGAGTTGGCTTGAAACAATAGTTTCTACTATCTCTGAGCTGCAAAGTAATATTTTGGATAATCCTTAACTTACAATATCCCTCATGATTTTATCCTCAACTGGAGGAGTTAGTTTTTGCACCTCCAACTGTAGCTCTTCTGTGAAGTTTCGATTTTGTGACATATACTCGTATGTATGTGTAAGGCCTATAATTAAATTAATTGTTATAACTTTTTACAGTAATATATTTCGAAGTGAAACCGCAGTTTCGTTAATTGATCAAATGTATAAGCCCAACCTGGCATATACACATAAAGAAATTGATACAATATTTGAATCTATTTTGAATCAATCTGCTATGAAATTAGACACAATATATGAGGACAGTGTAAGTCATGCTAATTTCTTCAGTATTTAGTAAGATAATTATTAATTTTTGTAATTTATTTAGCTAATTTTAAATGACTTTGGGATCAATAGACCTAATCATAGTGATGTGCTGGCGTATGATATTCAACGGGGTCGAGATCACGGTTTGAGAAGTTATATTGACTACCTTGAACTTGCCACTGGTGAAAAGATTGAGTCGTGGAAGGATCTTGAAAGCTTTATATCTGCGACGGTACGTACTGTTCACTGTTACTTACTTTTTCTTACCATTTAGGCCATTGTATTATTGTTGTCCATATTTTTTCGGTGGATTCGACAATTTTTGCTAAGATATTACAATACTCAGAATTATGAGAAGACCTGTTTTTAAGTTTTCACAATTGCCGTAGTAACTATATCTCCTTAAAATTAGTTTTTCGGTAACATTCTATCTGTAATTCATGCATATATCAGTGACTCAGTGACTGATACCCAATGAACTTTCCTTTTCGCATGCTATAAGGCGGTTAGCCCACCGGCAGATCATATATCTGTTTTGGCTAGAAGTGTTGCCGGTGGTAAGTTCATGATGTCTTTCTCCTATCTTTAACAATCGCGAAAATCCGGTACGAGAAGGTCTTGCTGTGCTGTCCGAAAAATTCCCAAGTACGTAATTTCAGTTTCATTTCTTTTTGTATAGTACTAGATCCGTTTTGTCGGGCTTGACACTAAAGCCCACTGAATTATTCCAGCTGCTTATTGTTCTAAGGATCTGATTTGCAAGGGAGCTAAGGGTTGCCAACCCTTACCGCTTGCGATTTCCGAAAGGCAATCTGCATTGGATTAATTTTTTGCAAAGCCAAAGAGTAGTATTGACTCTTATAGACGCTATAAACTGTTGCGGATATTCCAACACAGTTTAGATGTTTCCGTTGAAATAATCGTTATATCTTTAATGCAACTACAAAATTCATGTTGATTTAACAGTATTAGCAAATCATATGACAGTCAATATTCCAAGGCATGAATGTGAAAACGTGATGGTATGTGCTACGTTTCGCTGCACCGTTTTCATTTTCGAACACCAAGCCGCAAGAATTTGGTATATGGCAGCAATTGAAATCGAAATGAATCTGTAAGTACACCATCTAGTGCTGCCAAAAATATTATGGTGGGCTTCCATCATTTTAATTTATGGTTTCTTTGCATTATCTGATCGTTCAGAAAAAGCATTACATTGCCAATCTATATACATAGAAAGATAAAGATTAGTTTTTGATGTATATAAATATCATATGTGTTTGAGAGTCACACCTATCCTATTTTCCAATATTAATTTTTTTAGGAAATTTCGTTTTTGCACAGAAGTGAAAACTTTGTGCAAGTCCGCCTTAGTGAGACATCCAAATTCTTCAATTCCAACAATGGTATAAATTTGCCACTCAATAGAGATGTATGTCGTATTCATGTATCTAAATATTTTATTGCCAACTCCAAGCCTTAAGCAAACGCAAAAGCTTCCATTCTCCTCCAATACCTCTTTTATAGAGAATGAATAATTTAAAATCTATCCCTCGCATTCCGTTTCAGTTGTCACGAGTACATTTGTTGTTTTACAATATTCAAGATATTTTCCGTTTTGCACTATTTGGTATATCAGCATTAAATTCTGCAAAAAATGGTCTCATCAAATCTGTTGTACTTATTAACAATCGGAGTTAACTTAAACACTGTTCTTTGTTATAGATTAGTGAGCGAAAGGCCTATTTTTCAAAATGATTTAAATATTTTGTTATACAACAAAAATTAATTGTAGAAGTTTTGGAGATCACCACTTCTCCTCGTCAGACTTCTTCTGCCAGGGATCGAACCAACGAAACCTAATATAACATGCGAGTGCTCTAGCAATGAGTCAACATCAGCCATATATTCTGTTGAAGATAAGTAACAACAATATCATTCAAATTAATAGATTCACGGTTCATTTCGGTAATTTTTGGCAATAATTAGCAGATATGGTCTGTTGAAACAACAAAAAATTTTAACGGTTCATTTTCTTGAAACGAAAGTCATTGTCATGTAGATGGGAGGAGAAAAGCTCCAATTTCAAATCTCCCTCTCGGCTTCTTCCGTGATCATAGCGATATCGAGAGCCTCCATTCGATTACTTGTGATAAAGGCAGGGTCGTTTCGTATATTGCTTACATTGAGACTTAACCCTAGAACGAAATCAAAAAAAGTTATTCGCCGCTTTCATTAGTGTCGGTGTTTCTCCTCCCCTACAAGAATCAACGGTCCTATGTTGTTCTCCATCAGCTTTATCACGTACTCGGTTAGGTTTTATATTTTAAGGCTAATCGCAGTTGTATCTTCGGCACTATATTCAGGAGGTACCAAGATGTTTAGTTTTGAGCCAGCAGATCCTTTCAGAACCCTTGTGGAAAGAGCGGTTTTAATCCTGTAGCTCAATGTTTTGGAATCAAAACGATCTTTGGAACCGGTAAGCCGTATGAGGAGATTCTCAGGGACTGCACACTATATTCGCTGGTACACGAGGCAGTCTACAATTGTGGTCCAATTACATCAGGGTCAGATTTTTTTAGGTTTTGCTGACATTTTGCCCATGATATCAGGAGTAGGGGGGACGGAATATGTCCATGAGTACGTTCTAGTTCGGTCTGGTTCCAAGAGACTCTGTTCGAGAGCCACCATGATCCTCGTCAAGACCAACGACTATCAACGACTATTCTATATGATTCAACTATTGAAGAACATGAGCGAATAGCACTGACTAATAATTTCAACTGGATACCACCCCACAACGCACGGAATTACTATGTAGCATCCACAACTAATCGGCACCCTTGATGAGGCTTTTCACCGAATATTACGTGTAATACATATTATTTATTGAATTTAGATGCATTTTCTTTTTGTCTTGTTTGGCCGAAAACGTCCCAAATGCGAAAGAAAAAATATTGGATGCAGCTGAAAAAAAATAAATAACGCAATAAAAAGCATCACCAAGTAGACGGCTGACACTGAGTAAGAGCAGCATTTAACAAATAAAATGAAAAATTACTAATTTTAATGACCCCTTAGCGCATAAGAACCTACGGTTTCCAAAATCAATAATGAAATGAGACTTTAAATTTCCAAAAAATAAAAACAAAACAGTTTTGAGCGGTGTTTTCCTGTATTTTAACTTTCGACGCTGGCAGTATTGTTTTGCGGCTTAACTTTCAAAGCAAAATTGTAAATATTTATGCATACCTCAGTTAAAAGAGCTCAGTTGATGGATAAATTTAAAACTTTAATTCAAATGAAATTTTCCATTTAGTTAGATATCATATTAAGGCTCATTAAAAATCCCAAATTTCATTATCATTATTATTTTACTCTTACATTCTTCTTCAGGATTTACGACTGCTAAAGTCCATTTACACCGATGTCAAGACTATTGATCTTCTAGTTGGTGCCATGGCAGAAAAGAATGAACTTGGAGCTATTGTAGGACCGACCTTTAAATATATTTTGGGTAAGTACGTTATCATTAGATCTAAAGAATTAAAAACAAACACTGGCTAATCTTGAGTTGAAAAACAAGCATTTTTAATAACATTTTACCTTATTTTTTTAACCACTTATTTCAATTTAATTAATATTACTTATTGTTCTGACTTATAAAAAATGTCAATGAATGTCAACACCTCCGAGTGCGTTTCTGAAAGAAAGCTTTTCATAAAAAACCCTCAGCGGTTCGGAGGTGGCTTAGTACAAACGTTTTTTGTAAAACCACAAATTCGAGAAGGAGCTCGGCTGAAAATCCCTTCAGAAACTTGAATCTGTTTTGACCTGGTGTACAACTTTGCTACTGATAAAAGAAAATTCGTAAAAAATCTTACGGATTCCTCAATAGTGGATGCAAACCCACAAATAATTAGAAATGCAGGAAAAAAGATATTACTGTGGCGTATTCTAAAGGGCACGTAAGCAAGCCAAGGAGTTTTGATGATCCATTTTTTTTTGGTTGGAGGTCGCTCTTATAATATACATATAAAATGAGTAGCTTGGATATATTAAATGAGCTCATTCTCAAAACAATCCAGAAATTTCAGTTGAATGACAACCATTGTACAGCCTTCAAAGTACAAAAACTTAGTGTTTGTTTCCGGTTTGAGCTCATAGCTGTGATAAGCTGATCGATTACGTTTTTGATTTCAGCTGCTATTCGTTGATATATTTCACTTTTACAGGCCTATTCTGTCGAGGTAACAAAATTTACTTTATGGTAAATTTTAACAACAACAATAACAAAATTTACTTAATGGTAAATTTTAATACCATTAAGTAAATTTTGTTACTATTTCGTATTCTGAGTTCACTGTCACCATGTAAATTTTGTTACCAGCGCAATAAGGGGTAAAAAAATATCTGCGTTTGGTTTTGTGTTGTTAGTTTGAGAAAAAATAAAAACTAAAATGGATAGGCATATTTTAGGCCTGGAATTCATTGAAGATGAAGATAAAAGTGGAAAAAGGCGCATGCTAAGGAGATTGCGAGAAACTAATGACCCTTTTAATATGGAAGAGAGCTTTCATTCAGGTTTTTCTTGTCGCTTAGGCATATTTTCCAAAAATAGATTCAAATATTTATGATATAATAAACACATAAATAAAACTTCGATGTGAACATTCTCCTTTTTTACTAAAGCAACTGGCAAATGTAGTTTTACAAGGAGGGAAAAAGCAGTGTTGCCAAAGTTTTTTCAAACATTGTAACCAGTTCGCCAGAGTACCAAATTCAATTTCGGGTGTTAAAAATAAGTAACAAAATTTACTTTACCAGAAACAGTGAGAATAGGCGGGTTAAGCGCAGACAAGGACAAGGAAGCAAAACAAAAACGGAGTTAGGGAACTTTATAGTCTCAGCAATGATGACAGCGATTAAAATCATACATCGTTTAATGCAATGCAGCAACAGTAAGTCTCTATGCCAAGGAGTACGGTGCCAAGCTTATATCTTTTGGTCCAAGCTTGTTAAAAACGTTTCTCATACCTCCCGTTAAATGGTCTCGATGAATTAGACCAGTCTCGCCTGGTCATAAGAGGGGTGCGATGACAACAGCAAGAACAGTCACGGGGGATAGCGGCCACTGCATCGAGTAATTGCAGAGCTGGAGTGTTTTCATGAATGAAAAGATATTTCAGAGTGTTACAAATTAATTACAAACAGTGCTAAATTCCGCAGTGAGTCGTTTGGTTGAAAGAATATGTTAAGGAGCTCGCCACAAGATTAAGCTTATTATACAACCCTGCTTATCCCAATCACGCTTTTGTTTACTTAATTCAATAAGTTGACTTCGTTTATTTATTTCATCCATGTGTGTCCATCTCCACAGCTCGGAACACCATGGAAGATTTCACGTGTAATCGGCTGAAGGTCGGGCACTCCGGCCGATTATAAATTACCTAGCTTTTGGAGAAGATGTCTCAGGGGTAGATGCACCGTCAGTACACGTACAAGTATTCTAAATTCTCTTTTGCTTTGCGTTAAATATTGTACTTCCCAAGAATTTAATCTAACCGCAAGATTAATCAAGATTTACTAGTCGAAATTTTTAAAACAATTTCTTTACAATAAGAAGCCGCTAACTTCTGGTGCTTAAGACTAGAACAAAATTTTAATTTTTATTTAATTTAACCAATGTGTATTCAATATTATTCTGGTTAGAAGATTACCTCAGGAGTAGTTTTAAAATCTCCAAGTTGAATAATTAATAAGTGACAAGATCAAACAATTCTCAGCAAGCGCGGGGAGTGTAAACAAAATCGAAGGAAAACAATTGTAATTATTTTGATATGCAAAAAACAATAAATCTAACCAAAAAGGAAAATGAAAATTTACACGCTTGTAAGTCAGGAACCCCTGTCCATTCACTTTGAAATTTCATACACACACTGAAGGCCAACCAAATTCTTTGAAAAGTGGAGAATTCGATTGGTAAAGAAAATTTCAAACAACTATCGATTCATTAGGATGCTAAGTTTTACTTATCTTCCCTTATTAAAAAAATTAAAAGTGATCAAGTAACCTTTTAAAGACTCATCTTCATTGTAAATGGGGGCCTTCATTTAAACGGGTAAATGGCTGTAATTATGACCTGATAAATATATTTCAATTCGATCTTGCAACGGATAAATATACGCAGTTGATCGCTTTATCGGTTTAGATGAAGAACCCGAATATATATATATATATATTTAGCAACCGATAGAAACCTAATCAATTTATTTGATATCAACTTTTTTAAATTCTAGCTGAGCAGTTCTCCCAAATTTATCAAAAGCAGAAACGAGTTGCGAATTCAACATTACCAGAATTTCAAGAGTTTAAAATGGTCTCCGCTGTGGATTTACTTTGTGCGAATACTGAACTACAAGAGATACAAAGAAATTTATTCAGCCTAACTTCCGACAAGTAAGTTGTAAACAGATTTAGGCAAATATCAAAATATTAACATACTGGTACATATGTACATATGTACATATGTATTTGTGTACGATTATACTAAATCTATTATAAAAATTAAAGAAAATTTTTATCCAACATTTTTTACGATTTGCTGTAATATCATAAATCTCTCTAATCACCTTACGTATCCGGAATAAGACGAACGCTAACTGTAATGAAAAAATAATCTAAAAAGACATTTTAGATTATAAGGTAAAAACTGTAGCTGACAAAATCAGCAATCTTATTGAAAGTGCGGCGTTTGCTTTTATAATAGTAGTGGGCAATGGCAATATATGTGTTTCTCCAGAAAATATTTCTAATCCTTTGCCTATATAACGCATAATCACAGTGCTGAAGAAGTTACTGACTTCATTGAGTTAGGTGTCACAATGAACCCTAAGCTAGTTTTTAGAAATCATATAAATGCTTGTGCTAATAAGGCAAAAGGAGTTTTAGCTTTCATTAAACGTTGGGCTAAGGAATTCAAGGACCCATACATTACCAAATTACTCTTTACCTCACTTGTTAGACTCATTTTGGATCATGGCTCAGTTGTATGGAGTCCGTACTATCAATTGTATAGTGATAAATTGGAATCTGTACAAAAGCAATTCCTATTATTCGCGTTAAGAAATTTAAACTGGGATGCGAACAAGAACCTGTCTTCTTACAAATGTCGTTTACGGCTCATTAATCTGTCTTCACTCCATAGTCATAAAAAGACGCTTGGAGATTTATTTTTAATTAAAGTGATAAGAGGTGCTATCAATAGCCCTTTTCTAATTAGCGAGCTTAACTTTGCCATCCCGTTAAGTACATCTAGACACTTTAGACCCATTTCATTGGGCTCGTGCAGAACAAACTTTGAAGTGCAAGACCCTTTTAGAACTTTGTGTAACGATTTTAATACACATTTCCCCAACATTAATCCCTCTGACTCGCTTTTCTGTATCAAAATCTACTTACTGAGTGCTTCTTTTCCCCATGCAATTTTATAACAGTTGATGAAGAAATCTGTAACTGTTTAGTGTAAGAGGCCTTCCGCGATCGGTTTCGGGTTCAGGGCAGTCTGGACTTTTGCTGGTTTTCAGTCACCGGTCTGTTGGATTTTTCGATTTCCCTCAGACGCGCCCTTCGGTCGACCTAAATTGTCTATTTCAATTGAAAATATTAGAAATGTTCGTTTCGATTCGATTTAATGAAATATTCCATGAAAGTATGGTCATTTTAACATAAAAAAAGCTTTAAGTAAATGTCAAAATATAGAGCAGGGCACAAAAAGGTATCGTTTAACTGCTAAGTGGAGTACATGTCCTTACATAATGAGCTATAAATTCAGATATATAAATGAACAAAAACTGCTGTACTTCTCAAAATATCCGCTTTAGCTCTAATTGTAATGGAAATAAGCAAATATTTATGATAAAGCGTGTGCACTTCTAAAAATGAAATGTATTGTCTTTTAATATCCTTTTTTAAACTGCAGAACATTAACTACCTAAATTTTGTATAAAAAAACCTTTGTAAATTTTCCTCTTAGCAATCAAATTGTGTAAAAAAGGATATTTGATAAGCTTTTACACCCTTTTACTACTTTAAAAATCATTATCGGAACAAGACTACCGAACACTAGAGGTGAATTTTCAGATCACACCTGTTAATGAGTCCCTAATTAAAAGCAATTTCTGTAAATTATTAATTTATTAACTCATCAAAAATCTTCATTTACAATACTTAAATTCTTTGACGGCAATTTTAAGAGAAATTAAAATTGGTAGTGCAGCAGGTAGGAGCAGTTGTAAATATAATAGCAGAAATGAATGCACTTGCGTGAAGTTACTACGTCAGACGGTACCTTAATTAAGAAACTCTTCCGAAATTCGCTAACAAAATCGCTGTTTTTTTTATAAATTTATATGTAATAGAGATATTACATAATGAGATGCATCAAAATCAATCAAAAATTTAAAATTTTCTAGTTTATATTATTTTAGGTTTCAATTTACGTTTATGTGTACTAAACCACATTTTCCTATTTTTTCAGAAATCTTCCAATAACTTGTGATAAACGTGTGGAATTGCTGCGTGTGTGAACATAATATAATATATAAGAAGGAAACTTAATTACATCCGTGTATAGTCGAACTTAGAAATGACTTCACAACAAATTGTGATTATGATGAATTAAAAAAAATGTACACACGCATACTTGGAAACTGTACCATTGATATTATTCCTTACAAATATAATAGGAACCTTTGGGTTAAATAAAGTCGCATGTCTATTTAGAAATAATTCGATTCTTCACAGATATTCTATTTGAAATTTTCTCAAAAAAAAAAAAAAAATGGTTCTATCAAAATGGTATACTTTATTTTGATTGTTGCTTTATCATATTTTACTATTTTATTTATAAGAATTGTATTGACATATGCATTTAAAAATAAATTAATTGGCTGCTCATTTGAAGATGTTTACATTTGTGTATACAAAAGATATGGTAAAAAAATTAAAAAAAGAAGCATAAAAGAATAAAGTTAGGCGCGGTGAACTTCGAATTTCGGCTAAGCACTTGTTTTCAACATGTTGTTGTCCTTTTTTTCATCATGACGATCAACTTCAAGTAATAATTTTCTTACAATAGTAATTAGACCAATAACTTCAAAAGTAAAAAAAAGAAATATTGAAATGGATTTGACCTCGAATTATATGAATATCATCACCATCAGTGGTAAGTTACTGCGAATTGTCCGTGCACATATACCAAATTAACCACAAGCAAGCGAGGCACTTCTTCCAAAAATAAGTTATTTTACAGAAAAGCACAAGTAAGGTTGAATCTATCTAGCTTATAACCAGCCTGTGCAAGGTAAGGTTCTTCTTCTAACAGCTGTGGGACCAGTTGAATATGAAGGAAAGTTGTTTCAATTACATGCCGATCCATCAATCCAATCCGACCTCATGCTATTAATTTTGCAATGACGTATTTACAGACACATATTTATTGGATGTATTGAAAAAATGGCAAATCCTCATCCAAGATGACGATAATATTAAGAGAGAATTATATTTGGCGAGTTAGCTGATCCTTCCGTTACCGACTATATGCTGCAAGTACCATCTTACATACCGCACAGCCATAACACCCGGCTGTCCCAGAATATACAAACACGAGTACAACCGTCAGTAGCGGCACTGGCCCAGCCATAACACCCGGCTGTCCCAGAATATACAAACACGAGTACAACCGTCAGTAGCTGCACTGGCAAGCGGTGACAACTTTGTCTTAACATGGCGCTCTCATGAGATAGGTTGTTATAGACAGAAGGTATGTATGTAAGATGGGTAGTTGCAGGAATACTCTGGAAACAGAGGCATTTGGGGTTAATTTTGATGTTTCCATGGGCCAAATCAATAGTTAAAAGCATACGTTGACGACAAATGCCTCACAACAGAGCGAATAAAATTTTACTGTGCGGGAAATTTCACTTTGATTGATTGATTGATTTGACACTGTCACCTCACAATAGATAACCCTGTATTTTTCCTGCCACTGGATTTCTTAGAAAAGGCCACCAAATGGGTTAAGCAATAAATAGGAACTACGGTGTAATGGAAATTAAATCTTATGTACTCTGAAAACGTGAGCAATCCCTGGGCAATATGGGGTCACCGCTTAAAGAGAGGAAGCTTCAATGAAACCACTCCGACATATGTATGCGGTTATGGAAAGTTTAACAACACCTCATATGACAGACTCCACTTTTCATGAGGAAACTGCAAACGTATGAAGGGTCGTTCCGAACGTGTCGCCATAATCCGCATTCCCGACGAAAGAGAAGGACCGGGTGACTAAGGATGCCTTTAATGAGCGCCCGGGATTGTTTCGTCATGGAAGCTGAACTTTTCAACAGTTTTCCGGAAATTGCGTTGAAATTGCCGAGCACAATTTCTTCATCGTGCCAGGTTCAGCGTTCGTAAGGGCGTGCAAGGCATTTCTGCCATTTCTTCCCTTCCGAGGAAAAATTAGGAAAAATTCAGTAAAAATATTATAATGCTCATATGCACTATTCAAAATTCAATTCATTGGAGATAAAATTTTCTTTAAATTGCATTCTATTTTTAATTTTACTGGGGTATCTTCCTTTGGTTGTCCGCCAAGTAATATATAATATATAAAAGAATTCGTCGTAAGTTTACCTAAAATTTTTAACGTATTTGGATAATTGTTTTTCACCTTTGGCCCTTGCTAACTGCCAACGTATCCACCACTCAAAACTATTGTATTAGTCACGTCATTCTTACCTATGTTGATGGCATGCCAAGACAAACTTTCAGGTTTCGGTTGGCTGTAGCTGGCTCTTAGACAATGATATTAATTGCAATTAAAAAATTGAAAGTTAACTAACAATATTTTTTCATGCTCAGGTTTTATAAAAAATCTGAGTGAGGAAAATTACTAATATTCTTATATTCAATATATACTGTATATAATTACGCTACCATACAAATGTATAAATAGCTGTGGATACCCCATATTCATACATGTGAATATAGTGATAATGATAACTGATTTCCGAAACCAAGTTTACCATTGGACGCTGATAACAATTGACTGCACCGTATTTACAGTTTATACTTTCGTATAATTATTTCTTCAAACAGTTCTGTTTTCCCTTTCCACGCATTCAACAAGTTAACGCGGGTATAAAAGTTGTATCTTTCGTTAGCAAATTGTTTTTAAATTATCAAAGTTCATTGTTTATAGAAATTGGTAAAATAATTCAAAATACACGTAATTGTGCTATTCTAATGAACGTTCAGATTTAAGTAATAAATATTAAATACTGTAATGTGAAATTATGTAATTCTTTCTTTTACCATTATTACTTCATTATATTGGAATCCAAAAGATAACACAATCAAAAAGTAATATTGTATATATATAATAATACAAATGCGTTGGTATGTGTCATATAAATTGATGAATTTTTAGGAAGCTTTATCTAATCGAAAGTGTGAAGCAATTAACATATGTATGTACATACTCTTTGAAAGTATGTGAACGATATTATTATATAGATACCCTTAATATGTTTGTAAATGTGTATGTGTGTATATTTATATACATAAAGTGCACGTAAATATATATAAATTAGTGAAAACAGTGTGACTTTATTAGAATTGTAATTTCCCTTTTCGACTATTTCACTATTCCTATTTTTTGTGAAAAGGAAATGAGTAATCTGCTATAAATCTGGTGGAAATTTCATCTGCATGTGTTTGTATTGGCTTTTAGAAATGGGTGATGTGCAATTTATCATCGAGATTCACTTCCTGTAAAAAGGTATTTCATATGTAAATTCAGGTGTCTATGTATTAAATTTCACTCAAGCCGAACTCCTTATATGATCTACTTCCAAGAAAGGTACTGTATATTTTTGTTTTGGCAAAAAAGACAACTTCTGTCAAAAAGCAAATCAAGCCAAGGATTACAATCTCGTACTCGTAAATGTGGTAATGAAGCCATACCGGAACAGCCGATGAATTTTCTGTTAGCAACTCTTGGATACTTTCTAGTCTTACTAAAATCTTAAAAATCATTTCCTTAACTAATTAAAAGAAAATAATGCTGCATAATATTTACATCAGTATACAATTTAGAAGGCGGCCGCGGTAGCCTAGTGATTAGCATTACGTACTGCCATTCGGAAGGCTCGGGTTCAAATCTTCGTGCGACCAACATCCAAAAGTTATAGAAGATTTATTGAAATAAAAAATTAATCTAAATTTTCTAATTGCGGTCGCCCCTCGGCAGGGAATGTCAACCCCTCCGAGTGTATTTCTGACGTGAAATAAAGCTCCTCATGAAAAAACCATCAACCGTTCGGAGGCGGTTTAGTATAAACTGTAGGTCCCTCCATAGTCAATCATCATAAACATGTGAAAATCAGTAACATCTGGTGAACTCAATGCAGTCATGCCAATGATCTCACAAATATGGTTCTTCATTTCAAAATACTTACATATGCACGCAGATGAAGTCTGGCTCTTTAGTTCGTTCTATAGAAGATAGAGAACTATTGCAAGTTGACCTAAATAATATAAAAAGCTGGTGCGATGTAGATTTTACAATTTATTAAACGGTAGGACAAAGATTAAACTTCTAGATCGTTGTGACCAACACAAAATAAAATAGAAACACAAAAAAAGACTTGTCTGATTTCCACTTTCCTCAACTTATATTTTAGAAAAAATGCGTTAAAATGGAGACGAGAAAAATATAAATACGCAAAATAGCTGAGGATATTTCAGACGAAATTCCACCACCAATGCAAACAGAAATTCGCCATGTAATTCTTTTCGAGTTTCGGCGTAATTTACAGCCAATACAAGTATTGAATGAATGCCAAATTGCATATGGAACGATTGCGCCGTCTTTAAAGACTTTCTAGGTGTGCTAAGACTTTCTAGAATTGCTATGGCTGTATCCCGAATATTAATTAATATCACCTGGGATACACAAAGAAATCTGCTCGAAATTGAAATTATGCCCAAAAAGGATCTGATGTCTTTTGTTCAATTTTCCTAAACAAATTCGAAAATGATCATTCTAGCAACTTTAGTAAAGTCGTTACTGGTGACGAATCTTGGTTCTATAAGTACGATCCAGAAGCCAAACAGCAGTCTATGGTATAGAGTCCAACAGGAGCAGACCTACCCATAAAATCTGAGCAACAAAACTCAGCAGCAAAAGTAATGATGCCAGTTTAATTCACTCGATCTAAAATCATAGTTGCTATTCCACTGGAAAAGGGTTAGACGGTAGACGAAGAGGAAAACAGGAAAAAAGATGATTTGCTTTGCTATTTTTTACATCATGACAACTCGCCATCCCACACTGCTGAGATAACGAGTAATTTTATTGCATTCTCTGAGATCGAAGAAATACGTCCAGCACCATATTCCCCGGATATAGCATTTTGTAATTTCTGGTTATTTCCAAAAATATAAAAAAAAAATTTAAAAGGAAAGGTCTTAAATAGCAACGAGGAGATAATTAATGCGAATTACGAATAAATAAAAAAAGGTTTCTTCTTCTTTTTCTCTGGTCAACTTACCGAACATTGGTTAATCCCCTAGCGCACTCGTACATAGTAAAACCTTGCCATGGTTTGAAAAAATATTTTTTTTCGTTGTTCAATATTTTTCAGAGTAAAATATTATAGCAACACATTAACAAGGCCAAAGTTGTTGCATAATGATATCGTTGTAAATAGTCAATAAAGGAAATCTTCCATTCAAATGGAGATATTGTGCTATATTTATGGTTTTTTGCTATAATTTATATTTCTTTAATTTTTTTAATTTAATTTTTTTCTCTCTGTTATATTTGTCTCAGCTACCTTAAGACCAAATACTTATATATATTATAATTTTATAGAAATTTTTAATTTTTAGGCTCACACAATGGTACAGAATAATTTTGTGGATAATGCTGACAGGCAGGGGGATCCAAGCAATACCATCTCAGTTGAAGAAGACGCAAAGCCAACTTATGCATTAGAGCACTTAGCTACATTTAAAGTAAAGCATGAATCTGAAATACGGAACCCAAAAGAAAAATTAAAGATTTTAATGAAATTGGATGAATCAGGAGCCATTTGGCCGCAGAAAATGTATATGTCATTTAGTGGGCAGTGGTTGGTGATGTTGGACTGTGAAATGAAAGAAATAGAAAACTTTCCAGGTTCCCTGATAAAAGAACCAATGGCCTTTATCAGCGAAGATCCCCTAGAGATTTACAATAATATTCTTGTCTTCACGGTACCAGGCGTTTCATTAGGAACTACTGAGATGCATTTCTTTCAGGTAATTCACATAGGCATACGTTTATGATATATATGTATCATAAGTTAACGGAATGTTATACTTTACAATCACTTACATGAAATTAGGTAACGAATGTGTCAACGAAACATTTGGTTGAGGACCTAAAAGAGCTGAGTACCGGAAAGGTGGTAACGATTGATAGAAATTTGACTCCCATAAAAGTACCAAAAATAGCGAAATCATCCCATAACCCACGAGATCAATATGGAATAGCAATTGCTGCCGCAGAAGTAGCTGCAGAGAAAAATGCCCACGACGCTGAGCAAAGTTTACGCGACATTCAAGTTTTAAATCATTGTTTCGAAGACATTGAAAGATTCGTTGCACGCCTTAAATATGCTGCAGAGGCACTACGAGAATTGGAGTTGAGACATAAAGAACACAATCCTCATGGAGAAGGCCTGCTGATATTACGGTCACGACCACCAATTGAGAGCGAGTTTCATGATATTTTTGCCAAAATAAAACTGGCTATAAACTATGTAGTTAAGTTAAACAATCATTTCTCTAATGGGACAGCGCCTATTTTTGATTTATTCATTTCATTGCACACGATCGTAAATGTTTGCAACGATGTACATGTTGGTGCTAATATTCCAGAAAACGTAATCAATCCGTTGCTGCGTCGAGAAACTGTACATTTTTTATCAGGATGTTTAAACACTAAAGACAATGATTTCTGGAAGTCCTTAGGAAAAAATTGGACTATTGCAAAGGAGCACTTCCAAGATCACAAAAGTTCATATCACCCAATTTTTTATGACGATTGGTCTCCAGACTGGATAGTCGACGAAGAGGTGAACTATATACCACTACCTAAATCTGATCCTCCATTCATTTCAAATGTTGGTGCAAGTAATACCGTTTGGTTGTCGCGTCTTCAGTCCAGGAATGTAAAAATAGCCGAAGTAATTTATAACAATAAAGCAAATAATGACCGGGAATTAAGCGTCGTAACTGGAGAATATCTTGAGGTATGTTTATACATACATTTTGGGATTTTGCTAAAATGAAAGAATTGCATAATTAAATAGGTAATTGATGACACACGCAATTGGTGGAAGGTTAGAAACTCCGCTGGTAATGTTGGCTATGTCCCGCACACAGTTTTGAAGGCAAATAACTTTGAAGTTCATACAAACTACTCTCCGAGGGACACAGATTCTATAGTGTCTTCTATATTTGAGCAAGGTAAAGTATTTTAGATTGACGGTATTTTGCTTTTACATTTTACGTATAAATAAATTAGGCAGCAAGCTCAGAACTTCTTCTCCGCTCCTCTTACAGGAGTTCAGCGGAATTAACAATAGAGCACCACTCCTTTTCCCTTTCACCGGTTCGACAGCATTTGGACATAACAACAATTTGCTTAACTGTATACATTGAGAGTATATCAAACTTAGCCATAGCGGCATAGGGGCAGCTCCTTTCCTTGCCCTCGAAAAATGTTTTTAAATCGGTGTGTAGATCTTTTTCTCATGGGTCTTTTTCAGAATTAGGTACTTGTTGAATATCAGGCCAATAGTAGATTTACCAGGCACATGACCTCACTGAGAAGGTTCATTCAGTTTCTTGACGGTGAGCTTTCATTCAAATAATCCGCTCGATAGGACCTTAAATGCGATATTGATGAGGCTTATTTTACGGAAATTTGCACAGACAGTGCAATCCCCTTTTCGTCGATTGGGCACAGCGCCTTTAGGTTCCGATTGCGAAAGTTTGCAAGAATCTCTAGCGTTCCAAACGGACATTTCAGCTATAGACAAACTAATGGAACGGCTGGAAATTGGAATTGAAGCTAAATCGATGTAAGTTAACAACTGAATTGAATTACACAACTTTGAGTGCTCAAGCGCTGGTGCAGCAAGAGGTTCAAAAACATGTTTTTGTCCCATGTACCGTGCTTTCCTGTTTCAACGGCATTGGACCAAAGGGAGAGGGAGGTTAGATGAGTAGGTTTAAGGGGGCATGTGAAGAGAAGGTTAGTGTCGTGCGAAGACTCTCCACATTCAAGGCATACGTTGGATAAGCTGGGATCGAGTCTAGATAAGTAGGAGTTTAACCTGCTACAATATCCAGACCAGAGAGCAAAGCATTATGCTCCTTAACTCGTAGCATATGCTCCACTGTGAAAGTGATGCAGCGGCGAGGGAGGTGTTCTGGCAAGGCTGTAGCTTCTTCATCTGCGTCTCGTTCGCCCTCGGCGACCAGATCGGTGCAGCATAGCTTACGACCGGCAGGCCAATTGCTTTGTAAATTGCCAGTAAAGGATTTGATCGAAGTGAGAAAGATCGGCAAGGTCGCAGCTCACTTTCGAACAGAGGTCATCAATATCAGGGCAGACGTCATTATCGTGCAATCATCGGCAAACTAGGTTAGGGAAACTACTTCTGGTGGAGGAGGGAGTTTCGACATGTAAAAATTAAACAGCACCTGCCCGTTTTTCACATGTCAGGGAGATGCCGAGGCGCGATCACCGAATGAAACTTCCGTCCGGTTATCTCGTTTCGTCTGTAGCCCAGAGCTTGGTTGCCCCAGAGGAGAGGTTGCCGGTTCTCAAGTGTTTCTCCCACTTTTTCCGCTTATGGTTGTTAACTACTCTGCGAATATCCGCGCTTAAATCCCTGATTAGGGAATTCTCGGGATCGGAGCTTCGAAAGATGTCGCGCCTCGAGTCTAATACCGCCACTTATGTCGGAAAATTTGGGCGGATTTCCGCAATTCGGCATGCCGTGATAAAGCAGCGGTCACGGCGACTCTGCGGAATAAAGGTTCACCAGTGGTGACGTCAGATGGAATGGGAAGAGCACTAAAGGCGTTCTAGGTGAACTCCGTGAAGCCGGACCATTTAGCTTTTTTAAAGTTGACAAATGTCCAGTGATCCGCGAAGGGAGGCCTGTCAATCGAGATTTGTATGGGTAAGTGGTTCGATGCTAGTGTCTGTACTGGTCGCCAGACTATACTGTTTATCAGACCAGTGCTCGCAATAGTTATATCCGGCTAGCTTTGGCAATTACCCATAACTCTTGTGATGCGTGGATGGAGTGTGTTGCTGCTTTAATATCCACTCACTGGTGGTGCGCAGGTCCAAGCACGTCCGAAAATGACTCCAGCCCCAGCAAAAGTTGCATCTGACTGTGATCTTGTTCCCACGCACTATGGTTTGACACACGGAACAGACTGTGCGGGTGCCTAGGAGCTGCTGGGTAGCCCTCGCACGGGAGGAGGATGAGGAGCTGGTTGTAGATAGGGAAGGGGATGGGGGTTAACGGGAGCCATGCTGCGGAAATCTCCATTAGACCGTATAGGTATATTACCCAAAGTGGGTAAAGGTGCTGAAGGCTTTGGTGCTGGCAGCGTGGGGCCATATAACTTGTGGTCCACTCCCTATGAGTCTTAAGGCCTAAGCAAGTCTTAATATGACTCCAACCATTGCACTGGTTGCACCTAACCATGGTAGAGAAGTGATGGAGTCTTTTCTGGCACACGCAGCAGAAATAATCCATCGGACCAGGGTTGGTTTCGACGCCAGCCGTGGAAAGATGGATTTGGAGCAACCCAGCTGCGAGGTGTTTCGAGCATTACGAACATTGTCGGCTAGCTCTTATAGTTCTTCATCACGATCTCCTTCGTTTTTGCCTGCAAATGCGTCTTTCTTTCGTCTTAAGCTCTCCGTATCTAACCCACCCCATACGTGTTGCGATCGATCCCAACGCTGTCAGGTAAACAGCATGGCTCTCATTCACATATCATCTTTATGAAAATGTATGGGCAATTGCCCGTGTACATGTAAAACTAACTTCAAAAATGTTTTAGGTGGATAGTTTAAAGAATTTATACCAAAGCCAATAACATTGAAATTGACAACATACTCAAATAAAACAGAAAAAATCGTAAACATCTAGGATTTATATGCTAACTACTCCTGTGGGTAACTGTATGTAATTGTATTCTCTTTACAGAATCATTAAATGTCAACAAAAACAACATAAACCATAATTTGCATCGAAATACACTTACACCATTTGTGGATGCATCCGATGAATCAATGTCTTCGTCAAATAAAGCTGCAAAATCTATGCCACGATCATATAGTATGCCCAACGTACCTGTACCACCGCCTATGCCACCGCCAACAGACAGTGAGCCCCCAACGCCAAGTGGCACACTAAAACGTAATATGGCTGCTGCTGGCAGTTTAGCAGGTAATTTTCTATGAATCAAGTTCACAAATAAAGATTTCCGAATAGACAGCATTTTAGATATTTTTTCAAAATACCATAAAAATATCCGTACGGTCAAAATATCACTTCGGTTTACAAACATATCTATGTATATATATGTAAATACTATATAGTATAACATAAGCTTTCTATAACGAATTTGACGGCCGCAATACCCACGTGGTTAGCATTGCCTATTGCCAATCGTAAGATCAGGTTCGTGTCCTGGTCCGACCAACATCCAAATATTATAGAAAATGAATTTAAATAAAAAAGTTAAGTTAATTTTTCAAATTGAAATTGAGAGTGTACAATAAATAAAACGAAAAAGTACAATATTTGGGTTGGCTAAAAATATATGATATAATATATGATCATGACTAAGCGAGGTCTAATTTAAGCAGTATTCTATTACTAATCTAAAATCTACTACTTGTCCAGAGTTACTGTAATCTCTTCATTGCACCTGGTTTCTATATTTTGGTTTCCAAACTCAGCTCCCAACCTCGGCCGGCAAGAGGTTTAGATTATGGACAAATTATATAGCGAGTCACTTGCTTCAAGCCTGACGCCCGTTGGTGACCGCGCCTGTAGTACACAAACACTATAGTCTATATGAAGCCTTAAAAGTAAATTTCTCGATCAAGAGTCGTCATACATTTCCTCTTCAGATGCCAAAATTATTTTTATGTTCTTCTCTTCTCTTTGATCAAATTTTATTGATTAGTGCTTTTGCAAAAGCATATAGGACTTACTTGAAAGCGTCCTTTGTAGTTTTAAAGTATTTTAATTGAAACTAGTAAATCAGTTATATTCAAATTTACCACTTTCAAGGTGCGGATTTAGAAAACGATTTTTCTTCTCATCTCTTTCCATTCGACCGTTGTTGCGGAGCTGAATACGGAAGCGTAATGCAGAATTGAGCAGAATAAGTTAGTAAACTAGATCAAGATTTAACATTAAAACAAATGAAAAATGAGAATACTCTAGGTTTCAAGCATCTATGTATGTAAGTTAAAAATATATTTTGAAAATAACGGAGTACCTAATGTTTAGCCATTATTAAATATGTATGCTTACATTTCATACTCGTTTATATTGATTAAATTTGCTTTTTTTCTTCGCAGCCATGAGAGCTCGTAATGATAATGATACAAATGATGAGCTAGTAATGTTGCAAGGAACAATCAATGAAGAATTAAGAGCAACTCTGTATCAAAGAGAACGGCGTAAAGATCTTGAAATATTAACAACACCAAATATTTACATAAATCAGTATTCAAAACCGAAGGAAGTCGAAGAGTGGTTGCGTGCGAAAGGATTTCCTGATGCTATAGTTAAAAAGCTCAGCAAATTGAATGGTGAGGAACTGTTTGCACTGTCCCCTCATGTTATTGAGGGGTACTTCGGCCAAAAAGAGAGCAGACGTTTAATATCACAAATAGTGCTTCAGAAGAATATATGTGAAGTGAGTATGTTAATTAAAATTTAAAAATACTATTGATAAATTTCTTTTCTTTTAGTACAAAACTGTTCGTTCTTCAGAGTTAACTGCGAAACTAGCAAAAGCACGGCAAAAAGCAGATCAGCTTGGCAATGATCCAAATGAAGTATTCTAGCCAGCTCGATGGGAGTTGTCATTTTTTTAATTTTTAGTGATTAGTGGTATAATTTTCGCACTAAATTGTATAAATTGATTGAAAGCCTAAAATACAGTATATGTACATTTGAACGCTTTCGTATGACCTAGAACGACATAATTTGGAGAAGAAGACACAAAACGAAAAGAAATGTTTTTTGTTTCACTTTCTTCGATGCATTTTTAATTTAGGTTAACCTAACCTAATACTGGCTACCAGCTATGATGAAAGTGTGCCTTGGTATATATTTTTGAATCATGCTGAAGTACTCCGAACAGCGAAGCCCTAGATGTGTAAGAGTAGTTATAAATAAGGACGGGCAGAAATATTGGTGGCATTCCAACTAGTCTTTTATGCCAGCCTAATACCCATTCCGTCATTACACAAGATCTTCGCTGTTTGATATGTCATTGAGGTGTTCCATCTAACCATAATTCGTTTTTCTGTTTTCTCTGAAATTTCATTGTACAAAGTACGTACCGCCTTTCTATAACATGGATGTGAAATTGTTGTCTTAATTGCAGCCTGGACATTAGCAATGATTTCCTTATGTTTTCCCGCAGAATTAACAAGCCCATCTACATCCACGACCTTCGCTTGGAAAGTTCTACAGTAATATGGAAGCTTGAAATGTAGTCGGCGAACTAGCTCAGTGCAATTATTTCAGGCGGACTTCTATCAGCCATTTGGATATGATAGAGAAATATTACTAGGCAGTAGGCCCCACATAAATCTTGTCCTTTTCTTACATTGGAAAGGGCACTACTGGTATTTTTCACCATATTCTCGAAATTCAGCTTCCACATCAGCTTGCTGTCTTAAATTATTCCCAGGTACTTGATGTACTCTTCAATTATAAGCTTCACTGTCCTTTAGAGATTACAATATTCGTTTTATAGATATGCCATGTTAAATGTAAAACCGAGCGATGCTATAAACAGAGAGTCTCTAAGCCGTTATGGTAAACTAAGGCGTACGAGCACAGATGTATATAATGTGTGTACAAAAAAGGGATTGCAAGTACAATAGTTTTAATAACCAAAGATCGACGTTTGTTGTGCAAATACGTGGTTGATAAAATTTGTGAGAAAATTCAGTTCAGAAAAGCTCATTGTAAGTATCAACTTATGTATATTTTACGTCCGATGAAGCGGCAGCACTAGCATCTTTTCAAAATATTATTCATCACTTTCTTGGTAATAAATTATTGGCACTTCGTTTTACAGCTATACGAAAAATTAGAGCTTTAATGTCTTTAAAGAAACTTTTTCTGTATTTCAACTACGGCGACTACTGTTAGACTCCAATACGAAAAAGAGGTCCCAAACAATACTAAAGACTCAGTTTCATATACCCTTTAAGGAAACTACCGTCTTGTTAAAAACTATACAAGTTATGTTATAACCTACGTGTATATAAAAAACTGGAATACATTTTAAGGAACGTAGGGAAGATTCGGTTTTAGCGTCATAAATTATCATAGAAACAAGTTTTGCTTATGGTATTTTCATGCTTATTTAGACTTTCAATCCAATTAGATTACAGTAAACTAATTATAGCAAAAAAGAAATAATTAAAATAAAAAATTAAAATTTCAAGATCCAAGCGGAAGAAGTTGCGGACAAGAACTAGCTCTATTCACTTCATTTCCGAAAAGACTTTCCTGATCAGTAGTTGCATTTTTGGCCTCAAAAACTAGAAATTCCCATTTTTTAACCCATTTTTCACTGTTTTTGGTCAATATCTCAGTTATAAGTCCACAAATATTTATTTTATTTTCCTAAATATGGACATAACATAATAAAAGAAACTTAGAATTTGCTTAAACTTTTACACTATTAAAGTAACTGTTTTGTTGTAAAATTTTGACTTGGAAGGGAATAAGGAATAAGTGTCTCCTAATAGATGAAAACAAGAACCATTGCAGATTGCACTTCTATTTTGCTCTTCTAATTCGCAAAACTTAAACTATTTTCTATAATATACTTCCAAATGCATGTTGTTTTATCAACTTTAATAAAAATTCATTAATTTATATATATAAAAAATACGAAGTTGACAATTATATAATACTACTGTGTATATATGTACATTTATATATTTGAGTATAATATTTGTGATAATTCAGAAATACCTGTTTCTTTTGAAATGGATAAATGGATATTCCACTCGCGCAGAATCGTTCAGTTACGTTCGGTTTCCCAGTTACCATGAAGTAAAGTAAACAAGATTTTTATTCAACCATTTTGGCATGATCTTACTCAACATTCAGGCATTCAAGATTTCAAAAGATCTTTCTCAGACACAAATATGGGCAGACCAAATCTGTCTACCCGTGCTGTCCCCGACGAATTTATGTATACTCTGTAATAATATTTCCAGTAACTTATATGAATTAAAAATATTTTTGAAATGCAGATTATGCCCAGATTTGGTCAACCTTTTATATAAATATATAATTGAAGCTTTGTAACTGCTGAAGTGATTTTCAGCCGAGCTCCTCCTTCAATTTGTGGTTTTGTGTCTCCAACAAATGAAGGGACCTTCAGTTCATACTAAGCCGCCTCCGTACGGCTGATGGTTTTTTCATGACGAACTTTATTTAATGTCAGAAATATACTCGGAGAGGTTGGAATTCTCTGCGGAGGGGCGATCGCAATTAGAAAATTTAACTTAATTTTGTATATAAATTAATTTTCTATAACTTTTGGATGTTGGTCGCACCGGGATTTTTTAACCCGAGCCTTCCGAACGGCAGTACGCAATACTAACCACTCGGCTACCACGGCAGCCAACCAGCCGTAACTCAACATACGTAACTCAAGAAATTTGAAAATAACGGATATTTTCTGATCGCACCTTGTTGGTTTGCTTACATCTCGATTTTTTTTTTTTGATTTTTTTTTTTTTGAATTTCTAATTGTATGAATAGCTAAAAATTTTGAAAATAGAATTGTGACGAGGTAAATTCATAAAGGTGAGAGCAGGAGAACAAAAAAAAAGCAAACAAAACAAATAGGCTTTTTTGTATTCTTGCTACTACCGTGTGTGATAATTAGCCTTCAAAACAGCAAAAAAGAAAATTGATGTCGTTAGCTTAAAAATCAAAGTTTGCTAATTCAAATAAAATTATGAGCAAAGTATTTTTATTCTTGCTTCGGAAAAAACTTTGTAAGCAATGGCTATATGGCTTAGACGCATTGCACTAATTAATCATAGGGAAAAGTTCTATATAATTGTTGGGTCATAGGGGATCACTAGAACTACAGCACTCCTTTAAGTTCTTGTAACGCTATGCAGACAGCTCTATCTAATAATAATAATAATTTTGTACGAATATAAGTTCATTTAGATTATGGTAAAAGTCTAAATGAAGTTTTCTTGTTTGACTAGTCCATAACTCGCAATATCCTGTAAGGGAAGTACTTTGAACTAAATTAAATAATTTTTTGTAGGTTTTTCCTTGAATTAGTATTGTGTACCAACATACGTACATACATACATATATAAATTTCACAATAAAGGGAAAGGATATCTTTTAATTCTTTCAAATAAAACTTTGTTTGGCTTTAAATATGTAAGGATTTACAATTGTTATTGTTTTATTTAAGTATTTGATTCGATTGTTTTTGATTTCTACACAATCGTTTTAATGGAGTTTTTGCAAGCGATTTACTAAATAACATTCCACATGCATACATACACATTTTATTTCAATTTTTTTTTTACCTAAATATGCTTGCGTAACTTATAGCTATTTATTAAACAAAACGGATCTGATTGTACTAATTGAAGGCAAGGCAAGCTGAAAATACATTCATATACGTGTATGTGCATTTAAGACGCTGTAAATATAAAAGAAAATAAAAAATAATCAATGAATCCTTTTTGAATGAAAGTTTAATCACAACTAAAATTTAAATATATGTACTTACTGGAGATTGATTTTTATAAATTTCTTATATCCCATTATCCTCTGTTTAGCCTTTCTTATTTCGGAAGTAAAATCTACATTTGTAAAAAAAAAAACATTTTACATTCTCTGGAAGATCAACTTCCAAGCTTTTAGCAACTAACTGCTGCTGTTAATTTCTGCAGTGAGCTATCTCTAATGCACATATTTGATTAAAAATAGCTTCCAAAGACTTGACACTATGTAAAAATAGCGGTGACGGCTTATGCAAAGATCCTTTGGTCACTCCTCCCATGGGGCGCTGAGAGCTGTGAGAACTTCCGGCTCAATTCCCTCTTCCAAACAGCTTTCATCTTGAGTACTTGGACAATAACTGTTACTGGTTTGCGATGATGGATGAATCAGCCATTCGGTAAAATCTTCTGCCACATTTCATTTTCCTTGTAGGTGTTCAGTGCTCCGTGCTATAAGTGAAAATATGAGATCATGTAATTAATTTGTTTTGAAGTCTTTTGGAGTTGGATGGTCATTGAGACCACCTTTGCTCCGAATGGCTCCAAAAAAGTGCTCTAATACATCTTGATTTAGCCGATTTGGGAGAATATATTCCACCTTTGATTGGACTTTCATGGAATGATAAAATAACACTAAAGCTCGATTTGTCATGAGTACACCTTTTTGAAACGGCTCTAGAGTAGTCTTATTTGGAATTATGAGGGACGACATGAACTGGTTAATTTTTTGCAATACATTCCTTTGTTTTGCGAGTGCTCTTCCAAACGGTTCCTTTAAATAAGAAATTGCATTTGAAAGTGTAACTTTAAAATCAATTTAAACCTTTCCGGGATAACTTAAAGCGGTTAAGGCAGAGTTGAGCACATCAAACCAATCGTTAACCATTTGAATAAAGTCCGCTGTCTCTTTTAGCTTCTACAGGTCGAAACCTAGGGAATAACAGCGCCTAATGGCGTATGCAAATAGATATGTACTATTTCTTTCACTGGTATATGCTCGTCAGTTGTTAAAAGCTGGTCTTGCCATATTAAGCCTGAGTTCAGGAAATGATTTCAAATAAGCTTCAAAAGGTGCGGGACATCAGCAAAGGCAAAAATTTTAAAATTTCATTGGAAGGATTGGGGAACCACAGCTTTTCTAAACACAATATGTTAAGATAAATATTAGTATGCTCTCGTAAGAAAGGTCTTACCGGCTGTTACATTTAAATCCCTTTAAAATTT